GAAAACGAATTCCAGGAAGAGGGAAACGAAAATCATGAGTGATCATTATCTTCATACAGCAAGGATTTCGTAATGTGGGTCGTTAAATGCCAGGTACACGAAAACCGACGTGCCGTGATACCGCGGAATCATCTTTTCTGGCATCGCGTCTGTAGTTTCATAATCGAGTCGCGGCGCTGAGAACCGGATCACCAAGCAAGGTCTCCCGGTGTGAGAACAGGAAATCAGATTGAAAAGATAAGTGAGAAGAATATGGCCACTGGGGAAAAAAAAAAAAGTGTAAAGAGATCGCAGAAACCAAGACGTGGAGTCGTCGGTGAAACATGAGAGCTAAGAGTCCCAAAACGTAGATAATTGTGCCATAATTTGATTGACACGAGCGGAATAGTCCTTGTACGCGACAAGGACTAACGTGAAAACATCATGGAGTTGTACAGCGGGTGAGGACTTTGCAGTTAGCCCTTGTTGCGCTGCTGCTTCTTGTCCTTTTTGCGGTCGCGGACTCGCCTCTCCCAACAACTGTCTACACCAGATTCTAGGATTTCCAGGTCATCGTGGTGAATCTGGCCGATGATATGAACAACGGCATTGTGTTCAATGGTCACGTGTTTCGAGTAGTTGATGCGTGACTCTGGCGCGAGCTTCTCGATCCCCTGTAGTCCCTGGTTGAGTAGGAGCCGAATAGGCGGTACACCAAGCTGGGGCTCGCCGTTCAGCATCATTGGGGTTTGGTTCGGCGTATGGATGATACCGTGATTTACAGCCTTTATCCCGTGCTTTGTGCATCCCTGCCTTTTGTAAGTAGCAATTGGCCTTTGCCACAATATAGGTTAGCCATTTCAAAACGAAATATCTTAGTAAGCGTAATGTACTTACACACAAATACTGTTTCCGTTGCGAGCACCATTCTCCGTTCCATCAACTACAATAAAACGACGAATACCTTCATATAATAAAGTGCCGTTGATATTTCGTTGCCCGAACTCGCTGATAGATGTACCTGTCCCGACAGGATCCTTATTGTGTTTTGATAGCCGGCTATTGCCCATTGGTTCTGCCCACATGATCTTGAAGACCTTTGTCCTTGTCAGTTGGGTAAGTTAATGGATGAGAGTAACAGAGGGCGATACTCACTGTTCCAAATCTAAACTTTCTGGATGGCTCTACGACATATTGACTCACTAATTTGCTTTTAGCGACCATATACCAAGCTGTCTCTTTGATTGCTTACAGTTTTCATTGTAGGGCGAATCTTCCTCCAGCACATGGCTCCTCGAATGTTTCTGAGAGTAATGAGGCCGTGATGTGAGCTCAGATACTTGATCATCTTCTTCGGCTGAATACACATTCATGTCAGTGACTCATGAGAAAAAGCTGGGACATGCAATCTTACCAGGCGCATAAGGTCCCGATCCTGGTATGGCTGAGGATGATGATGATGAGGGCCCCACTGTTATGCCCCTTGAGTACATATCTGCAATATCTTGAAGACTCTGCGGAAGATCCGGTGCATAACCATCGTCTAACCTCCCGACATTTTCTGTGTATCCGAGGTCGGGTCAGTGGTCTGTGACCTTCTTGGGTGTGGTGGATCTTTACTTCACTCACGTGCACGAGGCGGCATTGGTGGCATCGCATAGGTTGCAGAGGACATGGTAGGCGTCGTTTGAGCCGATCCCGGCAGAAACTGCTGAGCCATGTCTTCGACACCCATACTAGCATGCTTCCCGCCAGGAGGAAGATCTTCATCCGCAATTGGCATATCATATCCAGAATCCCTTGCATCGCTACCACTATGCTTGCTAGATGAACCGATGGCGGGCTGCATGTCAGGATCCCTGCCTTTTCCCTTTGCATCTGATCTCGATGATCTGGAGCTTCTGCCATAACTCCGTGACGAGCCATATCCCAGGCCCTTGGCGTCGCTCTTGGACGATCTAGAGCTTTTGCCTCTGTCATGACCATAGTGGCTCGGTTCAGGCTGCTCTTCGGGATACCTAGACCTACTTTTGTGCTTGTAGTGGGTATCTTGGACATGTTGTCTAGTCGGTGCTACCATGAGTGTTACTATAAGCCTTGCAGGGTGATTTCGCAAGATCAATAATACCTTGGTTGAACTCTCCAGAGTCCAGGCTCCCCTCGGGTTGTTGGTAAGGGTCTGGGTAAGGGTTCATTGACAAGCTGTCGAAGCTCTGAGTAAAGTCCCCCATGGAGGGGGGCTGTCTAGGGACGCTGCTGATGTCTTCATCCCGATCTTCTTGGAACCAATTTCCTATCTCTGCAATTAGCGACCATGCTTGCATGACGTAGAAAGAGTGTTTGTTCATTGTACCTGACGAATCTTGACCCTCACGATGCCATTGGCCATTTGGAAGGAGACTCCATGCGCCCCAGTTTATGTCCGAACTGTCAATAGGAAAACTTGAAGACATGATAGCATTCCAACAGCATGCGTCATTCTCTTATTGGTGTTTGGGTGGGCGAAAATGGTGCTGCTGGCGCACTTCTTGGCCACAGCGCGTAAAGCAGCACAAGGGTGATTTATTGACCGACCCGGCTGCCTTGATTTGACAACAAGAGGTTGGTGTAGAAATGCGAGGACTATTTCACTGCGAATAATCGCATGCGGCTCTGCTAAACGCAACGCAACAGTAGACACTAGATGGAGCGAATGGAAGGGGTTGCATCCTATGTGGTTAAAAATGCGGAGTCCTAACCGAAAAGATCAGAGCAAACAGTCTAATTGGTGCGGAAATGTCCTCGTGATGGAACAAGGCGCGAGCTCATTGGAAAATGAAAAGTCCCAAGTAGGGGCAGCCGGAGTGATACACAACATGTGAGTCAGGCAGGGCCTGAGCGGTTGAGATTCCGTGAATTTAGCGAGAGCGTGCAACCAAACGCATCATGATACAAGGCCAGCTCAGCCTACATGACCGAGGTTCTCCGCTCGGACAAACTACACAGTGAGATACGGGTACCATGTGCCCATGTTCCTCTGCGGGTTCATCCCTCTTTTCGTCCCTGATATCGACTCGTCGCCGGGGGAGAGAATGCTCTATAATATGCAGAAAAAAAAAATACTGGAGCCCGGATTGCAGAAGACGGAACGACAGTCGATCGCTAACATCCGCCATGGGAAGGTCCGCTCCCATGTCACTATCTGTATCACCGGCCGCACATGGCGTGCAGGAGGAGGTGGGGATCTCGGGGCAAATCAGTATGAGGAAGCCATTGAAGGTGAGAGCTTCCAGTGATTTGGTTGGTTCCAGTCAACGTGGAAAGCATCGCCGCCTTTTGATGTGAAGGTGGTGGTGGTGGAATGGCCAAGAAATCTTCAGTCGTCCCAGTTGAGATAATCGATAGAAAAGAGTGTGAGTGGGCCATGATGCTATTTATTGACCATGCCTGGGTTTGGTACCCGTACATCGTGGCCAGGCAGTCGATTTGAGCTCGAGGCAGCGAAAGAAGATTGAGAGGTAAGAGGAGATGTTTGTCTTTTTTTTTTTTTTTCCCCCAATCCTGCGTCAGTCATTGAAGAGAGGACGGGAATCAGCCAAGGTCAAGGGCGAGACTCTCCATAGGCCCTGCCTGGTACATGAATATCCAGGGCTGTCGTCTTTCCACGCGGTAGGTTCGAACTAAGAACGGCAGCGATGTGGGGAGGAGACGGGCCGTTGACACGATCAGACCGGAGATGTGAAGGCCTTCGAGGTATACCAGGATATGGCTGCGACACCTCCTCGAGTGGTCAGTCACTGCTTCTCCTCCAACTCAGCGTGTCATGATTTTCCGACAGTCTGCCCTTTCTGGACCATTTGGTCTTGGGCTTCTGTGACGAGAGAAAGGGAGCGGAGTCGGATTGCCGACGTTTTCATCATCCGAACGGTGACAACCAAGACTTGACTACCACCGGCCTGTTTAGGCTAGTCCGCTGGAAAGACATGTGGGGGAAAAGAAACGTGTACACTAGTAAGGTACCTAAGCTCGCTACCTGGTAACTCATTTAGTGGATTCAAGGCAGGGTAGTGAGCAAGGTTTAGTGCATTGCAAGGTTGGTTTGACAATGGGAAACTTTTACCCAGACTCAATAAATTTACCAGTTGGCAAAGTGCATTTCTGCTCTTGGAAGTGCATCTCAAGTGAATACCACATCACAATTTTCTTGAGCTGTCAACGGATGGCAAGAAACCATTGTGATATCCTCGTCCATGATCCCACGGTGACGATTCCTCCGATCCTGAAATCCATCAATATCATGCCCGGCTAAAGCCCATTTCCCCCAAACCAGGCCGCGCAAGGCGAATAAATGTACGTTCGTATGTTGAAGTTCAATGGATCAACAACCCCTGTCTCTCTTTTTTTTTTTTCTTCTTTATTTTATTCATTCACGCGGCATCAGCGCGCCGCCGCGCAGTCTTCTCTTACCTACATGTCTTGCTTGGGTCCCATGTTTTTCCCAGGAAAACTTTGACTCTAAACATTGGTTCTTGATCAATGACCTGGCCCCCAAGACCCTGCAACGTCCAATGTCCACGACGCGGTTCCTTTCATTTGGCCTCGTGTTCTCATGATTATGGCTACCCCGAGCCAATCCTTTCTGAAACCTTGAGCTCCCAGCCTTCCACTGCCACGGCATTGGCATGGGCCATTTACCAGAGGACACGGCTTGGAACAACACATGTCATCCCAGCCGCAACAAATAGCAGCTGCCATGATCCATGGAGACCGTAACCATTTTCAAAAGCGCGGATGGGCCGTTCCAAGAGCCCCCCAATTCTCAAAAAACCATGACAACCCACGTCTTGAAGCATCGACACAATGATTATCTATTGGCATCCCGCGACACCATGGGCACTGTTCAAGACCATAGCGATCTCGTCGATCTATCATCGACAACCGTACTCCCTGCCATCGTGGAGTCTCCACCTTCACGTACGCCCTCGCCGTCATCGTCCAATACGACCATCGAGTCACGAGGCCGCGGCTCCTTAGTTGCCGGAATAGACGCCGCGAGGCTTCGCACTGCACTCTCTACTGCCAGCACAGTCACCTCCCAACGTCGCGATGCTCCAATCAGTACTACATTGCGCTCTTCCAGAGGTGGCGAAAGCTACGATTCGTATGAGGAGTCTGCATCTCAAATATCCGATCCAAGCACATCCGACGATATCGGAAGCCACGCGTCTGGTGAAGTCCTCATGGAGATGAAGAGACACTGGGAAACACTCAGCACACAAAGATTGGAAATCCGGAGACTATTGGACGATTTGCGAAGGGCACGAACACACATGAGAGCTCTGGCGCAAGCGAAAGACGACGCAGACCGTAAACTTGAACTTGCCCTTCGATCAGACCACTTCAACACGGACCGGGACACTTTAGAGCCATATCTTATTGCCATTAGAACGTCAAAGTTGAAATACCAAGCAGCAGAAACTACTGTTGACCAGCTAATCGATAATGTTGATGATGCCATATTCGAGGCAGATATTATTGAAGGACGCTTCTACAATAGGCTTAGTCGTCGAAATCTGGAGGCCGATATTCCTGGACCAGTCAATGAATCTCAGGGGAAGCATCAAGTACCCTCGAGAATGTCACTTCGTGGCATCAGTCCCGACCGCAGTGAAGATTTACACCCTTCGTACGAAAGGCTGAGAGAAGTCTATGGAGATTTACAACTTGCAAAGGAGTACTGCAGTAATCTTGGATATAAGCACACGGTTGTGCAATCAGAAGACCACGATCTGCTAGGACCAGACGAACTAGAATTTCTCGATGACTTTGAGGATAGTCTTGCAAAAGCAAAATCCGATGTTCAGACATGGTCCCAGAAATTCGAGGAACTTCGAGCCGAATGTGCGGCGAAAAATCTCATCCCAAAGAGCTCGCCATTTTTCGAAGACGGTCGAGATGGTGATTACCATGAACCTCATGTCTTCGTCCCTGATGATATATCTCTCGATGATTGTTTGGTAGATGAAAGCACATTATCTCACTCTCAATATTCCCTGCTTGTCACAAATCCCAAGCATGTGCTCAACAAACCGCTTCCTCTGACCTCCCAGGGCGCCCTTGAGCAAGCACTGATGCTTCCACTTAATACATCCGGTCGCAACCAGGCTATTCAGGAAGCAATGCATGAGCATTCTATAGCAACATTGCTACATGACGCAATTCCAGAGGACAAAACCGACTATATCAATAGGTGGCTCTTACAGAAATTGAGAATTTCCCCCATGGAGGTCCAAGTACTCAGTTTGACATTTCGAAAAATCTTAAAAATACTGGATTATAATCGATGGCAGCGCGATGTTTTGAGCTTCTGGCCACGAGACATAGACAGACAGCCTGTACAAGGTGACATTACCATCACAACTCATATCAGGCACGAGTTTGAGACTTTGTCCAATCCCTCGGACAAACGGGAGGAATCACGCTCGCAGGCAAGGTCTCAGGCAGCTAGTGAGCCACTGTTGCGACCGGCCGACATTTATGATGATTGGGAGTATCTCAACAATCTCCGCGATGACGGCCAATCCGAAGGAGCCCTCTGAAATCGCCATCGCCTTAGCAGAGGGTGTAATGTCAGCATTGAACTATTATAATGCTTCTGTTGGAACAATTATCGACGCTGGCACGCTGGCACGCTTGTCATTCACTTTGTTCTTACTATATTTCCATTGCCGTCTTTGATTATATCCCATACTGTTGAGCAGTGCTCTTCATTACGTATTGCCTTCCTGCCAGATACCCATTCATATGTAGTTACTTAGATAGGGCGGCCAGCGAGAAATCTAGTATATTTATTTACTCATCTTTGTAGACGGGAGCCCACGTCCTGCTTTGGTAATTGTAAAATGGTATTCAAGTTTATGCTGCTTCCGCACAGGTTGATACTGTGTGATGGAGCCCGGAAAAGGAATCTGTTAGTTTCCCTGTGGCAGGGCAAAAATCGCAACGCGCCGGCCCGCGCGTCGTACACCACCATGGGCCAAGAACAGGGTGATGATAAGGCTGCGTATCATCTACGTTAAAAGCGGCGGTCTTCCCAGACCGGTGGCATCGCGTCGATTTGCGCTACTGCATGAGAAAGGTCGTGCCCCCCCTCATGCATGCATGCATGATCAGGCGTCACCAGACGGGCGCCTTGTGCGCACCCAAGCATCCTCGCCCATCTTAATTGCAGCGGTCCTTTTCATCTAATTCATCCAAAGTAGCAGCGAGTTCGGGTCTAATTCATCTCTCCGGTCCCTCGAGAATGATGACGGAGCCGGAGGAATCCGATCATCACGAAATGCGATGGGAAAGACTTTGCGAATCTAGGACTAGAAAAGTGAGGCGAGCCTTGCTGTTATTGGGCAGTATGGTACACATAGAGAGCCCTCTGTCAGGCTGCCATCAGCTTAATATGTATTGGCGAAGAGTCATATCTCGGAAACGGCCAATACAATGAGCTGAAATTAATGTCTACAGTACTTTCCATCAATGTGCTTGGCAATTTATATCGAGCTGTGACATATTTTATGGAGTAACAAAGATAAGAAGAGCCTATCGTGGCAGTATGCAAGGTCCTTTTGCTCAGTCGAATCCAGATCAGCGGGGGTAAAGGTGAGAAACAGATTTGTGTGTATAGCTTCACCGGTCCTCACCGAGCCTCACCGAAGTAGAGTGGGAATCGACTTCAGCCCTATTTGCGTGGGGGCGGCATTCGCGACACAACCTAGATGCAGACTAAGCAAGATCTGATCAGACGATTGCTACCCGTATACATCTATTTTTGAAAATAAACTCTTGTCAAACAAATGCAGGAACCCTGGATACCAAACATTTGGATGTGTGGGGACAACTCGCCCGACTATAGAGTACAACTAAGTCAATCCCCTGAACGAACAGTGATTTAGCGACTTGGATTTGCTTAGTGCTTATGTTATCAACTTCTCTCATATACTGCACGTTTTCAAGGTCACACTGGGCGTCTCGGGCCGAGCCATGGCTGCGTTTTTACTCTCTGGCATTAGTAGCCATTTGTTTCCCAAACCAACGAGTTTCTCTGCGCCCGAGTATTATGAGACTTGAATGTTCCTTATGTCTCAATAATATCCATATCAACCAAATGCTACTATAAATGGCGTATATATTGCTTATTATTATTAAGAATTTCCACTGTTTAGTCTAGCAAGGGAATTTTGCTTATCCTTCCTTGTGTATCCAATTTTTCTTATGAAGACCAAGTTTGTTTAATTATTGCAAATTCTCAATGTATTATATTGAAATCGTTTGGTGCATATGCTTTCATGTTTATTCATTCATTTGTTCTTGATATTACCCATCTCTCATGAGTTTTTTATCATTTTTGTAAGACATCCGTGCTGTAAGTCGGCACATTATAATGTGAATGAGCATACCTAGAAGTTGATGGGTAATATCATTGCAAAAAGTTACAAGTATCGATTCGCGAATCCTTACTCACGGGCTTGCTGCTTAGGTACACAATCGAGATCAAGACCATGAAAAGAAAGGTCCAGAGTGAGGCGGAGTTTCCCAAGACTAATGTCAAGATCTAAGAGTATATAGTTCATATCTATCTATGCATATAACAGCTACTTCGGCTTCAATTGATACTTAATTATGCCTTGTTAGCTAGCGCCTATCAAGCAAGAGCACGTCATTTAGGTTTGTCCCTGCGTTTCCCCAAGATTACCAAGTCAAGAGCCCCGCTTAAAATTCATATCGCAAGGCGAGCGCTTTCGATAAGATAAAATCTACCGTTGTGCTGCTAACAGTCAAGTCAGTCTACCCTCCTACATCGGCGGTCAGCGATTCAGCTTCAGACGACTGCAATTCTTTTTTTTTTGTTCCCACTCAGCTCTTGCCTCGGGCACTCTTCTCAATTCCAGAATCGACAGCTTGTATCCCCTCTCAGAAAGGAGAGAGAGACGCAACGACAGAGCTCCAAGCGATCAGCGGAGAGTGCGGGGCAGGATGGCGGACGCTGCTGAGGATATCACGGCCCAGGGTGGTGCCGTCTGGAAGGACCTCTTCTCTGGTGCGGTTGGAGGAATTGCACAAGTCCTGATTGGTAGGCCAAACCCCGGAAGAAAGCCCATGCATTGCGATTGAGCCCATGGGAGTGGCGAATGGACAGCAAATGCTCACGACAAGAGATAGGCCAGCCCTTTGACATTGTCAAAGTGCGTCTGCAGACCAGCACACAGTACAACGGAGCGCTCGATGCCGCCACTTCCATTTGGAAAAAGGAGGGCCCGCTCGCCTTCTACAAGGGCACTCTGACGCCGCTCCTGGGCATTGGCGCCTGCGTGTCGGTGCAGTTTGGCGGCTTCGGCTTCGCCAAGCGGTACTTTGAGGAGCGCAACGGCGGCCGCGACCTGAGCTACGCCCAGTACTACTACGCCGGCGCCTTTGCCGGTGTCGCCAACAGTGTCATTTCGGGCCCCATTGAGCACGTCCGTATCCGCCTGCAGACGCAGCCCCACGGTGCCGCCCGCCTCTACAGCGGACCGCTCGACTGTGTCCGCAAGCTGAGCGCCCATGAGGGCGTCATGCGCGGCCTCTACCGCGGCGAAGCCGTCACCATCATCCGTGAGGCCCAGGCCTATGGTGTGTGGTTCCTTGCTTTCGAGTACATGATGAACGCGCACGCCGCCCGCAACAAGATGGAGCGCAAGGAGATCCCCCCTTACATGGTCGCCTTCTATGGTGGTCTAGCCGGCGAGGCCCTCTGGCTGGGCTCGTACCCCTTTGACGTCATCAAGAGCAAGATGCAGACCGACGGCTTTGGCAGCACACAAAAGTACAAGAGCATGCGCGACTGCTTTGCCCAGACTTGGAAGGCCGAGGGTATGAGAGGTTTCTGGAAGGGCCTCGGACCCACGTTGCTTCGTGCCATGCCCGTGAGCGCGGGAACGTTTGCAACTGTCGAATTGACACTGCGTGCAATCAGCTAATTATAGTGCTTGGTTACTGCGATGGATGGATTACATTGTTGTAGACAGAAAATCACTTGGCCGACATGCTGTGCGGCATTGATGGGGGCGTTCACGGAAATTGGACATATTTTCATCTCTTGATAGACTTGAGGGCGCTTGAATGACACCACGTTTTCTGATATACTTGCGGTGCTTCTCTTCTAATGGACAGAGTTGTTTTCCTAATCTACTAGAATTGACTATACACTGTTCTCAACCCTGCACTGCAAGATGCGTCGAGCATTCGCGGGCTCCAGGGTCTCAATGTCCAATTCTTCAAGCACCTTCCTTGCTTCCGAGTTATCAGTGAAGATGCGGTCACTCGCCAGCTTCAAGGTGAGACCGCCATCACGGTCCAACGGAAGGCTTAGTAGCAGTGCGCCTTCTTGAAGTTGCGTCAAAGCTATAGACCCATCTGGTATATGTCTGTCTATCAGGGAGCAGATGGCCTGCAGGTCCCGTACAAACTGGTTCGCGCCGATAGTGGTGAAGCTGTGGCGGAGGAGAATACCCGACCACAACATCTCCTGTAGGCGTTCTAGTGCATCGCGCCATACTTTGCGGTACACAGTAGTGCTCAGTGCTGGTTCCAGGAAAGTGAGGTTTCGCTTTAGGATCTAGACCAGTATCAATATTTGCACCATTGCTTTGGGCGTCATACTACTTACCCTTAATGGTTCATCAAGCTCGGCGGTAATGCTGTACTGACTCGGGTCCGAGTCGACGTTAACGATGGACCATTGAGCTTTTGACAGGTATGGCCTGAAGGCGCTCTGATGCGACTCTGCAAGAGCATCAACGAGGAAAGCCTGAGCACGCTCTCTGCGTTTGCTATAGAACTTGACGGTCTCGTCAAAGATGGACCCGTTGGCGATCGAGTCGATCTCGGATGACGTCCTGTCTTTGACTTGGTCGTAGCTCATCCCACCAACAACGTTGGTCTGGTCATCTACTTGTCTCACGCGGGTCTTGAGTTCTTCCCATAATAGCATGAAGAACTGCAGCTGTTAGCCTCAAACTACTTGGAGTTTCTGATCCACGACTTACATGCTCATTTCCCCAGGCCTTCAATGTATTGATAATGTGGTCTGCGCTGCCCAAAACCTTGCAAAGTGTCTCCATACCGCCTGTGCCTTCGAGGGCGGCAAGTTGCTCCTTGGAAACACCTTGGAGCGTCCTCGCAACGCTTGACGTTAGTGTGGCATATGCTTCTAGGGAGTCCACAAGTCGAGCATGGTATTGGTCCAAAATCTCCTGTTGTATATCGATTAGGAAACGTGTCTTGTGCGGTAATCTCCTAACTCGCTGATACGAAGCAGTCACGGACTTGAGCAAATCCGTAACGCGAACAGCACCATATGTGGGCTTCATCTTGCCAGGCCCGCTGTAGTCATAATCGATGTTTCGCGCATCTGCCGAATTGATGATAGTGCGGAAGCGCTCCAATGCAAAGTCTTTCTCAGCCTGAAGCCAGTCTCTGAAGTGCTTGTCCAGAATCTCAGAGGCAAGGCCAGACCACCCATTCTGAGAGTCACCTCCGTCATAGTCAAATCTTGTCCGGAGAGTCTCGTCAAAAGTCATGAGCTGGTCCATGAGACTGCTAAGATATTGCGGGTTTTTGAGCCCGTGTTGAACAAGAGCTTCAACCTTTTGTCTCATAACAGGAAGTAGAGACGTCACAAGTGCGCAAGCGGGGTCGACATAAATGGATTGGTCTGCAGCCGTTGTGCCTTCGAAGCGAGGCTTCAAGGAATGACCGAGGTTCTCGCGGAAGAAGTCTTCCCATTTCTCAATCAGTTGAATGAAGCCCGGCACGCAGAAGGTGGCAAAAGCCTGTGGTGTGCTTGTTGGATTATCACCCATGAACTGAAATCGAAACCACTGCACAAAGGGCTTCACCATGACGTCAATGGGCAAAAGGCTCACAGCCTGATCTGAATAAATGATCTCGGGCATCTGAAGGTCGATCAACTTCTCGAAGCATTGTAGCCACTCCTCGTCCATCTCTGCTGTGACATCCACGTCGTGCGGCCAGTTGCGCTTCTTCAGAAGAGTTTCCATCTCTTGAGACATGGTCTTCTTCATCTCATCCCAGAGATTTTCCGTGATTCGCTCCACATGGTTAACCAGGTGTCCGGCAGCCTCATCCGCAGGGCCCTGCAGTTCACGCAGGCGGACGCTCAGCTGCTTCAACCGAGAATAGGGCTGCAAAGCTGCCTTTGGGCTGTCGGGCAGATGCGACCTGGCCTCCAATCTCATGTTTTCCACATCTTGTAGCAAAGACACGTACTGGTACGCCAGCTCGACCCTTTGCAATTGCTTCATAGGTCCCTCGAGCCGGCGAATCGCATCGTCTGGGGCGTCGGAGGCGGCGATGATTTGTAGACGAGTGTCGATGCTGTGCTGCAGCTCCTGGAACTCGTCGATTTGCCTGATTAAGCCGCCCTGGCGGTCCTCGGCAGAGCGGCGCACCTCCTCGAGCTCTTGTGTAGCATCGTCAAGTTGAGCTTGCAGCTGGCTCCGCTGAACTTCGATATTCGCTAGAAAACTGTCGAGGTTGTCCAGGTCGGTTGTGGATTGTAGCTTATCATCGAGGTAATCTTCTAACCGAATGTCTGGCTCCAGTGACTGAGCGCGACTCAGTGTGAGCGAATCCATTTTGAAATGTTTGAGAAAGAGACGATGTTCTCTTGTCCAAGCAGTTTCAAATTGTGACTGTCAGATGCGTAGTGGTAATTGCAAGCTCCATCAAGCTTCAGGAAACGACAATTCGTGGCATCATGCAGTACAGGTACCTAGAGCTGCAGGGGGACTCAAGGTACGTACTGCCATCCCACTTGCAGTCAAATCCTTGTAGCGAGGGTCTAGCTATGCTACATATGGTTGGAGTGCATTGCCATCCACCCAGAACTTCGGTCTATTTTATTTTTTTCGAATCTCTATCACTGATACTATAGAGCCTTTAGATGACAAAGGTCATCCAGTCTGGTTGGTTTATGTCTGGTTTCCATCGAAGATGCTTCGGAAATATGCACCTGAGTATTATACATAGTATGCAACTATCCCCTAGTCTCTTCTGATAGACCGCCCCACCTAGAGTTCGATGTCTCTCGCCTTTGCCTGGAAGACTTCTGCGCCGCAACATTCATCAGACAACTTCACTTGCTATCAGCAAAGTCGGGTCAAGATGGACAAATCCGAAATTCTCGCGTTCGCGCGCGAGTACTCGAGCAAAAATATCGACCTGTACGAACTTCTTGGTATCGATTCTCTTAAAGCAGCAGACGCCAACGAAGTCAAGCGCGCGTATCGAAAGCAATCCATTAAATACCACCCGGATAAGTTGGGCGATGACTTTGACCCAGACAAATGGCAACTACTCGAGCGCGGTCGCGATGTTCTCATGGACAAGGCCGCCAAGGATGCTTATGATGCTGCGCGTAGCGCGGCGCTTCGGGAACAAGAACGGAGGCAAGCCATGAACGCGAAGCGTAAGGCGGCGATAGAGGACCTCGAGGCTAGAGAACGAGGCGAGGTTCCCAAACGACTTAGAAAAGAGGAGGATACTGGTATGAGCGCTGCAGAAAGACAACAACTCAACCAGGAGGGTAATCGACGCTTGGAGATGCGCAGGCGACAAATGGCAGAGGCAGAGGAGAGGGAGCGGAAGGCCCAAGAGTTGGCAAACCTAGCAAAATCAGGGCAGAAGGAGCCTATCAATACCCCAGAAAACCCTGTTTCGAATTTGCAACAGAAAATCAGTCCAGACGACGAGGACGATCCTGAAATTGCTGCCATTCAGCAACGCATCCGAGAAGCACAGGAGAAGAAGGCTGCAAAGGCCGCGAGGAAGGCAGAGAAGGCAGCACGCAAGACAGGAGACAATGCACCAGTGCCATCAGATACCAGTGCACAGGCTCAAGAGAAACCCATGTCCAAACCTCCTGCTACGGAATCACAGGCTGACGAGAAGAAGAAGGTGCCAAAATTCTCGTTTACTAGTCCTTCTACGGCCTCGGCTGCCACCGCACCGAAAAACGACTGGGCCACCATGAAGGAGAGGCTAAAGGCTGCCCAAGCCGAACGAGAAAGGCGCAAAGCTGAGACTGCATAGTGTAGTAAGAAAGCCCCCTTCACATAAAATATGATACCCATTTGAGCTTTGCGGTGTAGAATCTCGAAGAGCTTGCCATTTTTGCTACAGATCATGAATACAGCAACAAACGGCGGCTAAATATTTCCCAACCGGACTTTCAATGACCTTGTTTTGGTCAACCATGAATCCAGGGGGAAAAGAAAGCAGATCTTTCAATACCAATGGCCGCGTGTCAGATATTCATATGCGGATCATTATTATTATCAATGAAGCTTGAAACATTCTACCGCAACCACCGGTCAATCTGTCTACCCCAGCGCCTGACTACATGCCAAGTGTCATGCATAGCTCTCTTCGTTCGGAACTGTACGGTCGAAGTATCCAAATCCTCGCCGGCAGCCATTTGCTCGGCGGCCCAATCAGCCCAGTCTTCGGGGTCAGTTATGTTACCAGGTAAACTATTGAAATACTCCCATCCGGCGACGCCACCAAAGTCGGGATATTCTGCAGAAAGCTCTCTTATGACGCTTCCGGTGGTGTTGAGTTCCACGAACCCGTACCCATTCGCACTGTTGGTCAACAAACCCATGACAACCTTGTCAGGTGCAAACCCAGAGTCAATAATGTCCTCGTAGTCTGATGTTGAACTAGGATTCGCAAAGCCAGAATAGAACTGGGCATTATAAAAAGAAATGTCATCTCCACGACGCGCCTCCAAGTCAATGTAGCTGAAACCGCTCAGGTTGCTGCCTCCTTCCTGTAGTGCAGAAGCAACAGGGGACAGAGTAATCACAAAGTCGTGACCAAAATCCGAGCGTAATCGGTCTATAAGTCGAATGACTCCGTCGAGCGACATGTGTTCCTCCACATCCAGGTCGAGACCCTGGAGATTGTACGTAGCAATCATATCAGCAAGAGGGCCATAGTACCTCTCGAATTGTTCCTCGTCGCCGTCTAGGCGCGTGAAAGATCCCGGTGCTGCTCCACCGAGCATGCCAGTGACGACGACGCCTCTGCTCTGAAGGATTGCAATATCGGTCCAGACGTCATCGAACAGGGGATCGGATGGCGGGAAGTCATTCAGATGAACGCCGTCCGTATCGTTCAAGTGAATAGCTGCTAGCAAGATATGGGTGACGGAAATATCTTTCTTGTTGTATAATAATGGCAACAGTGATACGTGTTTTCCCGATGAGCCGTTGGCATTCGTAGTTTGGTAGTAGACAACCACACGGTGATTGTCGGCCAGTACGCCGCATACGAGTAGTAGGAGTAATGGGAAGAAGTGGCCAAGCCAAAAGGAAGAGTTGTGGACCCCCATGTCGAACCAGCTCGACTATACGATACGACACTTGGCAGCAGTGCTACTGTCAACGGGGAGATACATGGAGCCCACAGCTTTTTCGACGTGACTTAGCAGAGCCTGTGCAATTCTGGCATCCTGATTTCTTCGCAATGACGATTATTGATGGTTTATATATTATTTGAAAGTTTTCTGTGAGTGCCGGCTAAATCGACGGGACCCGCAGAGCTCGACCAGACAAGAGTATCGACCTGGGTGCGATGCTTGGCATATTTACTTTGTTTGATCATGTTCAACAAAACTATTGCCTGCCAAGAGTCTGATCTCTGCGTTATATATGTGCATGTGTGCTTTCTATGTCACCGTACCAGCAGCGCGTGCCATTCTCTCGTATGATCCCGCAGAGACGACATGTATGCGCCATATTCCTTGGGAACCCACCCAAGAGCAGCGGTCGAGAATGCCAAGCCTGGAAGGCTCCAATAGACAAGCATTGCTGGAAAACATAGTCCTGCCTCTCGCCATCGAGAATGGAAATATTGGTATTTTGTTGCATACCGCAGAATGCGAGTACTGAACAAGACTGCGCTAACATTACACTAGACAGCTTGGTGATGAGATCAAACACATGCTACTGGTGGGTTTCTCTGGCAAGTCTTGCGCCGAATCGCAAAGTGATAGCCCCCCGGGTCGTTTGGTGCATCTCGTGGTCCAACAGTTGCATTGATATTCGGTCTTTGGTCTATATCATGTGTGCCATTGCATGCTTTTACAAGTCCAGGATACTTGCTAGACTGTGGCTGGTGGATGCACTTGGAATTTTTCAATAAATCATACAAGATAAGAAGAGTACATACATACCCAGGTTTGTATAGATAGTGAAGGTCGAAAAGATTACTAAAGACTTTTTTAATAAAAAAAAGAAGAAAAAACCAATTCGGCGGATGTTGAGCCTCATCGGTCACGCGCCGATTGGCATGGTGTATGAATACCACCTGCTGATTTGAGGGGAAGACCCTGAATCCCATGGCACTTGGTGTGGCCCGATAGAGCTCGAAATGGTATTTGGGACACAAGATACTACCTATGGTCGCAATCTTCGTCTGTAGAGGTCGGGCCTTCGATAACCTTTGAGCTCCGATGCAAGTCTAAAAATTGTTGACAGGTAGACTGTAGTCATGGCCAGGCCCAGTTGAGTCGCGTGACAAGGATTGGTGTAGTCACTGTAGAGAGAGAGGTCAATATTCCTCCGTGAAGGAACTTGTCTTCCGTTCACAAGTAGTAGTGATTTGCGAATGCGACCGTTGACGTTACACCCAAGAGATTCAGACAGCACGCCCTTGATCAGTACTTGACAAGGGACCTGGACTTGGTGGATTGTGCTGGATATGCGCCTTGGCAAGGGCAATCCAACATTGAAAAGTATTTAATCTCGCCAGGGCTGGTTCCTGATTATTGGGAACAAATATTGAACTGCACAGTGAATCACATGAACGGTGGGAATGAAAAGGAAGAATAACATAGGTAACGGAAATGTTAGTGGGGGAGGGGCACTGTGTTATGTAATCAATATCCCTGTGTACCCATAGCCGTTTTCGGCCAATGAGATAGGTACTTTCCCAAGCTTATTCGTTCCTACCCTGCACTAGTTGTCCAGCGACCCACTTGCCCTTGATCCCGCCGCCGCCTGCCGACTAGCTCTGTACCTACTCCATGCGTCATCGTTACTTGTAGGCAGCAGGACCATCACAAAAACTTCAATCAAAAAGCGCGCCTGGCAATCCACCGCCGAAAGACAAAAATCACCAGGGCGTCGATGGCCATCTTTTCTCACAGGAATCTACTGTGACTCAGGCAGGAGGACGCTGGAATGCACATTTCTACTGGCAACTGTGTTGTCGCTGTTCCTGCCTAGATCTCTTACTCTTCTTCCCTTCTTCCAATTCATTTCCCTGCCGCCCCGCCGCGCAGTACAGCTACACCATCAATAATTCTTTCACTACACAATCATGGCTTCTCCTTCCGAAGCCGACGGCAAGGCGGCGTCATCCAGCCTGGATGATGACATCCTGCCTGCTCACACTAACGTTGTCGTCGCCGAGACCATCCCTAGCAATTCAGCACCTGCAAGCCAGGCTTCTGACGAGGTATCTGCGTCGATCTCCAACGACAGCGATGTTCCGCTTGACGAGCAGGAAGCACTACGGGACCTGACCTCGAATGTCCGCGACCAGGACGATCTTGAGCGCGACATCACTTTCCAAGCCAACCTTGCCTTCATCGAAGCTGAGGATGAGAGGGATAAGAAGCGCATCGCAAAGCTAGAGGCCAACATACAAAAATTCGAGGCACAAAAGAAATCTCAAGAAGAGCGATTTCGTAAGGCAATCGGCAAACCTGATTTGAAGAACAAGATTCGTGAAGAGATTGCCCGTCTGGATTCTGAGATAGCTCTCGCTTCCAATGACATCGCAGACTTTAATGCTCGCATTGAGCAGAGAAACCAGTCTACTGGTGATGCATCCAGATTATCCCAAGCTGGCAACAAAAAACTACCTAATGAAACCCACCGAGAGTTTCTTATTCGGACTGGCAAAATCACGCCCTTTGCCAATATTGGAGGACCTCGGCCCGAAGAAGTCCAGGGGCAATTGGCCAACGCACTTGTTGATGCCGAAGATGAGGCCATTGCCGAAGAAATGGAAGAGGAGGCGACGCATGGACCGCGATCACACCGTAACCTTCGCGCCCCGGGTTTCGCTGATGCCGAGGATGTCAACGAGGCCGCCATTCTGGCCCAATCAGAATTCTCACTTAGACCACGAAAGACCCAGAAGAAGCGTCGCGTTGAGCCTAAGGGCGACTCTTCAGATGATTATCAGCCCTCCTCGTCTCGCTCGACCCGCCCAGAGGCTGACTTCGTCGTAGACGGCGATGAGGAGGAGTCTGACGACGACTATGATCTCACCGAACTACCCCACAAGAAACCCTCCAAGGCCACAAAAACTAGCGACGAAGTCAAAATCAACCCTGGCCGAGTTGATGATGGTAATGAGGCTGATTACCAGAGCCGCCTTTTGAGCTGGTGTCAGCGACGGAGCGCTGCGAGACGTCAAAAACAGCTCGCCCGCGGTGAAGCTGTAGAGGCAGACGATGATGAGCCCGAGTGGCACAAGCCTTCTCCCGACGAACCGGATCACCACCTTGACAATGGACTCAAACTTCCTGGAGATATCTATCCGTCCCTCTTTGACTATCAGAAGACTGGTGTTCAATGGCTAGCCGAACTCTGGAACCAGAAAGCCGGGGGTATTGTAGGGGACGAGATGGGTCTGGGCAAGACAGTTCAGGTCATCTCCTTCGTATCAGCAGTCCACTACAGCAAGAGACTTGATGGCCCGGTCATTATTGTTGCCCCAGCCACAGTCATGACGCAGTGGGTAAACGAATTTCACCGATGGTGGCCGGCTATGCGCGTCTCTATCCTCCATTCCTCGGGAAGTGGCATGGTCAATGTTCGTCGCGAGGATCGCCTGGTAGAGGATGACATAGCATGGGACGACGTTCGATATCAGCAAGGCAAAAAGTCGAGCCCAGCTGCTAGGAAGATTGTCAAGCGTGTTGTGGAGCAAGGCCACGTACTGGTCACGACCTATGCTGGTATGCAGACTTACGCCGACATCCTCCTGCACGTCGACTGGGCATATGCTGTCCTTGATGAGGGCCATAAAATCAGAAATCCAAACTCCGCAATCACCGTAGCCTGCAAGATGTTGAAAACACCCCATCGCATCATTCTTTCTGGCACACCCATGCAGAACAATTTGCTGGAGCTGTGGTCGTTGTTCGACTTTGTATTTCCGATGCGACTCGGAACTCTCCCCGATTTCCGTACCGAGTTTGAAATCCCCATCAGAATCGGTGGCTATGCCAACGCCTCTAACCTTCAGATCCTGACAGCCCAGAAATGCGCAGAAATCCTTAAGGATACCATCAGTCCCTACCTCATGCAACGCTTCAAGGTCGATGTGGCTGCTGATCTCCCAGAGAAGAGCGAACGTGTTCTGTTCTGCAAGCTCACGAAACAGCAGCGGAACGCCTACCAGCTGTTTCTCGAATCTGACGAAATGAAATCTATCCTAAGTCGCACTAGACAGTCGCTGTTCGGCATTGACTATTTGCGAAAGATTTGCAATCACCCAGATCTGACAGATCCATTGCTCAGGAAGCGGGTCAGCTACGACTGGGGCAACCCGAAGAAGTCAGGCAAAATGCAAGTGGTCAAGGCTCTGCTTCCGATGTGGAAGAAAAATGGCCACAAGACGCTTCTTTTCTCGCAAGGTGTGCAGATGCTAGAGATTCTCGAGCAGTTCATCCAGAAAACTGGTGATATCAAGTATCTCAGAATGGATGGCAAAACTCCCGTCAAGGAGAGACAGGTCCTTGTTGATCAATTCAACAATGATCCGGAGCTGGACGTGTTCCTACTTACGACCAAAGTGGGTGGCCTTGGTGTAAATCTGACTGGTGCCAATCGTGTCATCATATTCGATCCTGACTGGAACCCGTCTACAGATGTGCAGGCTCGCGAGAGAGCCTGGCGTTTGGGACAGAAACGTGAAGTCGTCATTTATCGACTTATGTCGGCTGGAACCATCGAAGAAAAGATCTACCATAGACAGATCTTTAAGCAGTTCCTGAGCAACAAGGTCCTGAGGGACCCCAAACAACGTGCCGCATTCGAGCTCAACGATTTATACGACCTCTTCACGCTCGGAGATGCAACAGACGACCAGACCCAGACTGGCCGACTTTTCCAGGGGTCAGAGGTAAAAGTTGCAGGTGCGCTATCTGGTTCTGATGGAGCAATGTCATCAGCTTCCTCCTTGAACGACAATCGCAAGGCAACATATGACGGTACTTTGTTAACTGCAGCTCTGAACGCTGTCGACGATCTCAACAATATCGAAGGCGTGGCGGGCCTCGAAGATTATCAGACTTCAGCTGACGAGAAACCCAGCAGTGACGAGGCACGTATCATGGAAGGGCTCTTCGCGCGCTCTGGGGTTCATTCTGCTGTGGAGCATGACGAGATTGTCAACGGCAAGCGCAAGCCACAAGCCAATCATGCCATGCTGCAGCAAACAGCTGCGGCCGATGCCGCGAAAGCAGCTGCATCGCTGAGACGGGCGCATGACCAAGCCGTCAGGATTCCAATTGGCACTGCCACGTGGACTGGCGAAGTTGGCGAGGGTGGTCGTCCGTCTGCCCCGTCCAACATCCGTCGCGGTTTGGGAGGACCAGGCTCCGCATCGATTCTTTCCGGGCTTCGTGATCGCCAGGGACTCAATGTGCCGGGTACCTCCTCACCCGGGGCCCGTTCGTCGAGCGGTGCCTCCTCTGCTCAAGGCGCAACACCTACACCAACGACAAACATTGGTCTCAAAGACTTTGAGCGCATGATTACCCAGTTCATCCGGCGACACGGCGGCCAAGTTGCCACGAAACTGCTCGTGGACCATTTCAACCCGTACTGCATCACCCGCAAGCAGACCACAGAATTCAAGACAGCGCTTGATCGGGTTGCGAAGTTGGAGAAGAAAGGAGGTTCAATGCGTAGTGTCTGGGGTCTACGTACCTTGCCCAACCTTGACGTGTTTATGGATTGATGATTTGTGGCGTTTCGACATGATTTTATCTGCGTTCCCGCAGAAGGAGACCTTTCAGATACCCCGGGGCAAACAGAAAAGCATAGGGAGTTCATGGAGTACAGGTTTTAGCACCCTAGATGGATGGGTCTTTGATGATGCGATTTGCAGGGGAAAAGGACAGAGCTAAGACACCTCAGTCACTTTAATTGATGCCATGAAAATGATCAAGACTTTGGCATGTGTGAATGTACTTCTGTTCACTAGTGATCATGTCTCCCCGATTTATTGACTGTAGTCTTATCACGTGTCCTAGAGGCATTCACGAATTGGTATGACGATAAGTTATAACCACAGTAAGCGAGGGAAATGCAACCATCATGTTGACAACGAATGGACTCTGTTACGAGTCCATCTTCATTATCTTGATTTCAGTAGACTTAAGCTACGGAGACCAGGCTGGTATGATGTCATACCGCCGTTCTCCTCGTAATTGTCAGATGCCGCCTCTCAGAAGAGCCATGACGGCCCAGATGATGCTATGTTTCCTCTCGTAATGTCGTAACCCATTGACTTTTATAATCCGTCCCTTCTAGATGGTTGTCTCGGACCAGTTCGCAAACAAACCACACGTATATGCCCTGCGCAGAAACGCGAAGAGATGCATATAGTAGTGCGATCAGAGACGACGACCACGGCGACCACCCTTTCTGCGGGTGCTGTCGGAGGGAGTGGGGGTAACGTCCTCAATGCGGCCGATTCTCATGCCGGAACGGGCGAGAGCACGAAGGGCAGACTGGGCACCAGGGCCGGGGGTCTTGGTACCGTTACCACCGGTGGCACGGATCTTGACGTGGAGGGCAGTGATGCCGACCTCCTTGCAGCGGGTAGCGACGTCCTGGGCAGCCAACATGGCAGCGTAAGGGGAGGACTCGTCACGGTCAGCCTTGACCTTCATACCACCGGTAACACGGCAGATAGTCTCGCGACCACTGTAGTTTGGAAGAACCAAAAGTTAGCCTTCTGCGTCTTCAAAATCCTCCTCATGACCATGACAAATCGGGCGCGGGGTGCTCTCTCTTGCGGGGAGGGGTCCGGGGCCGACGAACCTGAGATCAGTGACGTGGACGAAAGTGTCGTTGAACGAGGCGAAGACACGGGCAACGCCGAACACCAACTCGCCTGGAAAATGATTGTGTTAATACGCGTATCATTCCCTTCTTGAAAGCGCATGTATAACCTGGATTGCCAAGCTGCGCTTTCATTACTGGGGTTTTACTCACCCTCACGGACGTTGGGGCCGAGGGAGATGTTCTCCTTGGGAGCGGTGGTCTTCTTGGGAGGGGCCATCTTGACTGTGGTTTGCTGATGTCTGGGGGAGGAAGGAAGACTGAATTTCGGAAGAGCTTGACCGCAAGAAGTTCTCACGGGGGTCGGATTTGGTGGTTGAGCCCTGTGAATTTCGAAGCGGTGAAAATTGGCAGGAAAACACCCACCCAGAGCCCGTCATGCCAAAGTGGGACTAGTGTCACTCATTGGAAGCCCTAACCACTCAAAATTGCTATGGAAAAGAGCGGAAACTGGCCCGTGCACTGTTCTTGGCATCACCCCACCCACCGCAGCTGGTCCCAATTTCCTCAATTTTTGCATCTCGAAATTTTTGGGTTTTCGGTTCTTGTCCTTCAGATCACTCAACGACCTCGCCATCTACTAACGATCCTCCCCCGATCACAGCAGCCAACCTCGACAAGATGGCCCCTACCAAGCCCACGTGAGACACCCTTCCTCGCTCTTGCCATCATTGATGGTGACGATGCGCCCGGTTCTGGAAAACTTTTCGCACAGATTGTCGTGGTCCTCTCGGCTGGATGGCATTCGTCTGCACCACTATACACTCTTGCCCCTCTGAAATATGAAGCGGCCATTGAGTTTAGCTGGCAGACGATCTTGCAAGCCAGCTCGATCTTTCCTGTTGCTACTCCCTCCTTCTTGCAGCCGCCTGTGATGCGGTGTGCAGATTGAGAGATGTCGCTCGGGGCGTTGGAGATGAAGTTCCTCGCGGGTCTTCTCTCTTAAATTCATCTGCCGCTTTCAATGGTCCGCGCCGAGCACAGAAATGTCAAACGGCCGACCTCTGTTAATGGCGAGCATATATTCTTGAACTCTGTTCGAGGTGTTGCCAGATGAGTGTCCTGCATGATGGAGACATGGAGGCTTTCACTGCCTCCAGACTCCTCGAATGCTCTATCTCACTGGTCAAATTCATATTCGAGTCAGCCACCGCTGAGAATGTCGCACTTCAGTTGGCAGTTCTCCGACCGGCGCTCTGTCCATCCATCGTTGTGATGTGACGGCTCGTGGACTACGTACTAATCTGATCATCTCTAGTTCCGTCCCCACCAAGGATGATATCCTGGTCCCCGAGACTCTCCTGAAGAAGCGCAAGTCCCAGGAGAAGGCTCGCGCTGAGAAGTCCGCCGAGGCCGACAAGAAGAAGAAGGTTAGTCACTACTGTTTTATGCTGTTGGGAGAGGTCGATATGATGCACAAAAACCCTTTGCGACTAGACCAAGGTCAATGCTGTTGCAAAATAACCATCTTTCGGGTCTGATCGCCGAGGAAACCATACTCTTCATTTTTGAGCACCAACCTGCAACAAGTTGCTAACTGTGCTCTCTCAGGCCAACAAGGAGAAGCGTGCCGTCATCTTCAAGCGTGCCGAGAAGTACGTCCAGGAGTACCGCGACGCTGAGCGTGAGAAGGTCCGCCTGGCCCGCGTTGCCAAGCAGGAGGGTGCCTTCCACGTTCCCGCCGAGGAGAAGCTCATCTTCGTCATCCGCATCAAGGGTATCAACAAGATTGCCCCCAAGCCCCGCAAGATCCTCCAGCTCCTCCGTCTCCTCCAGATCAACAACGGCGTCTTCGTCAAGGTCAACAAGGCTACCATGGAGATGATCAAGGTCGTCGAGCCCTGGGTTGCCTACGGTTACCCCAACCTGAAGAGCATCAAGGAGCTCGTCTACAAGCGCGGTTACGGAAAGGTCAACAAGCAGCGCATTCCCCTCACCGACAACGCCATCATCGAGGAGAACCTCGGCAAGTACGGCATTGTCTGTATGGAGGATCTGATCCACGAGATCTACTCCGTTGGCCCCAACTTCAAGCAGGCCTCCAACTTCCTGTGGCCCTTCAAGCTCAGCAACCCCACTGGTGGCTTCCGCACCCGCAAGTTCAAGCACTTCATTGAGGGTGGTGACCTTGGCAACCGTGAGGACAAGATCAACGCTCTCATCCGCCAGATGAACTAAGATACCACCAATCAAATCATCTTTGTGGAATATGGGAAAATATGGGCTTGCTTTTTTTCAGAGGGGTTATGGTAATGAGGTACTTGTTTCTGCATGGCTGTTCGGCGTTGATAAAAGCTTCGGATGCTACACCGAATGAATTGAGACTTTGATGACCACCCCGAGAGACTGATGTTCTTGTGAGGAAGACTCTTGATGATCTTGTGTCAACGTGATGATCCATCTGTAGATCTATGTGCAGTGTTGAACATGAGCCGTAGTTGAACGAACAAGATCACAAATGGAAAGACCATACCTAGCAGACATTGAAAGAGGAGCCCCATTTGTTAGTCTCCGTTGCTTCTTCCGATGCTCGTGTAACATACCTACTGTACCGATACCCAACCCACATTCTAAGATGTCCATAATTCTTCCACACCCAAAGCTGATGCAAAGCCTGTTCTTGAGGACCAGACCGCAGAAGTTCTGTCTCGTTCATTCAGGTAGAATTGACATTGTCTCTATCCACATTTATTTGTGAAATTCCTTCTCAGCGAGCAAATCAAGCGGATTAATCATCAAATAACACTACGACTTTTCGTCCTCCTGAGAAGCAGCAGCATTGATTGTCTGCTATTTATATGATGATTTGGGCAATGGAATCTTTTCAAACAAGCACGGAGAGTCTGCAGAACAGCCAGCAGCCCTCCAAGCCCAGCTCACTGTGTCTTCAGTTCTCCTGTCCCTCCTGGCCCTTCGACGGACCATTTCGTAGCGCCAGCCACATCCTCCTTGGGAAACGCCGTGGAAATGTCGCCCAGCTCCGCCCACGAAGGGTACGCCGACTTGCCGTCGTCGCCGATATTGACAACGCGCCCGCCATCAACGTACTTTTCGACCCAGCCGAGCGAGACGACGGTGTGCACCAGGTTGACGTAGGGCGCCTCGGCAGCCTGCGCGGCCTGGAACTCGGGGTCCGACGTCACCCGGCTCAGCTCGGCGAAGCTGCGAAAGTAGAACTCGACGGTGACATCGTGGTCCTGTAAAATCGTATGTTTAGTTTAATCCCTTTCTTTTTTTTTTTTNCTTTTTTTTTAATGAAGAGTTTGAAACGAGACTTGGACTATGTCTACTTACGTCTACGATGAATCCTCGGCCGTCTCGCCGATTGATGGAATCAAGGGCAGTACGGTAGGCGAGCGGACTATATACCTTAAGTTACTGGACATTAGTTTTCCAATATTCCAAAACATCTCAGTTTGTACTTTCAAAGCAAAAGTGAGTCAGTCCACGCCAGCTTCAAAAGGCGCGTGAAGATGGCTGTGCTATGAAAGCGCAAACCCCCGAGACTGCACAGGTAACGCATGACTGACTTACTATTTGATACATTTCCATGCCATGCTTGGCATGCAGAGGAGCAATCTTCTTGACATATTCTCGAGAAAAATTCTCGGCCACGTCACTGGAGGAGCTCTTGTTGCGATAAATCGATATAGTATATCGAAGGAGCCGACCTGGTGAATTTGCCGTCGACATTTTGGGTCTTGGGTTTCCGATACAAAGGTTAACACGGGGTAGATTTCGAGTTTTGAACAGATTCAATTGACGTGGAGAGCTAAGGACCAGAGGCGTATGGATCAAGTCTCATGGAATATGGCGATTGATGGACTTTATATAAGAGTGACCTGCCAACTCCAGACATGATATGCTTGGTGCCATTGAGTAGTTCATGAACCCATATGAACGGAGATAAGTTACAAACGGCCGTGAAATCGGCCTCTCACATCTTTGGGCTCATGGACATAACGCACGTATTTCTCATGAATTATGCTGAGCGGCGATGTTTCCATGCACTCGGTGCTTATCCGGGCGGTCGAATTGAGCCGGGTGAGCGGGGATCGGAGCGGGATTCGCAGTCCACAAGTCGCAGACTTGGTGCAGTCGGACAAACTTTGCCCTATAGCCAACCTCGTGAGACTCAAGCTCAGTGACGGACCAGATGAAACAAGGCTACCGTAAGCAAGAAGCATTTATATCACTCCTATGATCAAACTGGCCCTGGAATCGCCGGAGAGTGGGATGCCGAAATTTCGGAAATTCATCATTTTTCTCTCCAAATGTAATTTGTGTTTCTTGGGACCGAAGAGACGCACGACAGCTTTTGTATTCCAATTTGTGAATAGACACTACACCAATAAACGTGGGAAATAAATACAATGCGCTGTGCAAAAACGAATTGGAACAAGACTTTTTGGGAGTGGAGTATACAATATGCCGCGAAATAGTAGAAGAATCCACCCCCACATGTAACCGAAAGCCGGAAAACGCGGCGTAAAATATGGGGAATCGCCTTGTCACGTATCTCGTCATTGATCACTTGAACAAGATCCACGTTACGTTTCTGCTATACTCGAGAGATCAAGTGTCTGCCACGGGCCTTGACAAGTGTACAAATCGATTATACAAGGGACACGGGCTGGTTCGCGACCAACGTCTTGCTATATTGCAATTTCAAGAACCCGCTCCGGAATTGCTCTGTACCTTGCGTCAAATAGTCAAAAATGTAAATCAAGCCGTTATGCCTCCCGCTCTCTCTGGTCGAGGCAGATCTCACTGACAATTGAGACGCAGGTCTTTGACAAGTCAGAAGAAAGAGTCCATTCCAAGGGCACCACATCCGGAGCTCGAGCTCCCAGCCCCGACTTACAGCTACGACTTTCAAATGTCGGTTGATCTGAACCCCAAGGTCGCGGTCGGCTCCGTGCCGTCGGGCGGCGTGCGGAATTGGATCTCCTTCTCCGGCGGCAACTGGGCGGCGAAATGGGGCTCCGGAACTGTGCTGGTGAGTTTGGCTTGGAGAAGGGACAATTCCCATTTTGTTTTGCGATGCCTATATGGTCTCGAAGAGGGAACGAGAAGGGCGGTAATCCAGAGCATCGAAAAAGAAAAGACTAACATGTTATGCCGTGGCCAGCCGGGCGGTCAGGACTCACAAGTTGTAGATCCCGAGACGTACGTGGTCAAGATGGAGACCATGTATCTCCTCAAGACCGACGACGAGGACCCAGCATTGTGAGTTGTTCTTCTTCTTGCCTCTGTCCCTCTCTACTGAATCATATCTCCGCCCGCCCGCCCGCATTTTGCGCACGTCGAGGCATGACTACTGCATCAATATCCCGTTGCTGAATCCTCATGGTGATGACATAGCATCGAGATACGGACTCGTGGATTCCGGACCGGGCCCCGAAATGTCCTCGAGGCCCTTCAAGACCCACAAAAGGCAAACGACGTTGATCCGTCGACTTATAGCTTCCGTCTGTTCGTCCAGATGGAGACGGGTGATGAGCGGTATGCCGACAAGGTCAACAGCGGCATGTGGGTTGGTAGCGGGATGCGAAAGGGAGCCCAGGTCATCTACGAGTGAGTCTTGAGTCGAGCAGTTTGTTGGGATAACAATGTTGGCTTGTCTTGCTAATTGATACAGTGCCTACCGCATCAACTGAGGAAAGGGGACGTGGCCCAAAGTGTCCGATATCGAACTGACCGACACAAAAACGTATACTGTCTGAAACCAAGAGCAGCGCGAAGAAAATCCCGTACGTGAAGCGAGTCTAGGTGGGCATATAGATCGAATTGTTCGCGGTCAAGAGGAGAACATTTCTCTGTCGTAAAAAGAGGCTATCATATGCAAGACTTAATATGTATACCTGAAATGAGGACTCTCATCACCCAGCTCGGTGAGCTCCTCCTCTGACAATCCTTCGTGGGCTGGGTCAATGTGTCCGGCATCACGCTTCGCGTTCTCTCTCCTGAACCAGAACCACATAAAGGCATAAACGCAGGTAGACATGGCGACCATGCTCAATGACACGGCGTTACCCCTAATGTATCTTGGGCCCTCAGCAGTAAGACTAGATGATTCATGTCAGAACAGAAGGCGCCTGATTAGACGATACGACGAAATGAAAGGACCTACTAGATGAAAGGCGACATGATGCCCGAAGAGTTGCCAATCGTGAGTTGCAACCCATTGGCGGTTGTTCTTTTTCCGTATCGGGGCGTGTTGATGGGAAGCTGAGTGGCAGTCAGTGGGGTGAAAGTACAAGTAGGAGCAAAAGACATTACCCAAGCCAGAGGAATGCCGACACCGACATAGAGGCCAGTGGCAACAAGGAAGCATCTGTGATTGTATGAGTGATGGAGGCTCCGAGCAGGCCAGATGTTATAGGCGCAACTAACCCAAAGTAATGGACGCCGGCAGCCGAGTTGGAGAGCAGGATGCCATATCCAACGACACTGACAGCACCGAAAATGACGCAAAACATGGCCCTGCGCTGAGTATGATCCGAGAGATACGCCCTGAAGCATTAATCTGACGTTAGAAAGAAAGTTTTCGAGTCATGACGAAAATGATCAATAAATGTAGCTGTGATTTCTCTCCTGATGATTGCCAAGAAGCCTTTGAGAAGAATTCCCATCCACGTATCACAAAACAGTCAGGTTACTTGGAAACAGAGGAATTCACTTACACTGTCATGTATGTTATGGCTCCCAGAAAGTAACAGGGGATAGTTAGCAGCTGAACTTCTGCCGTTGTCCAATTACCAATGCCGTTGATGATAGTTGGCAAGAAGGTCGAGTAGCCTGTGATTGTCAGCATGACTAGTAACTTGCACTATAGAATGTAAAAGTCCAAAGTTGGAATGCACTCTTGAATGCTCACTCACCGTACAGCATGGTGTCCATGCCAAACTGCCCGGCACAAAACAGCCACACTTTCCAGTCCTTGAAGGCCTTCATCATGTCCTTGCGGCTAAATTGTTGGGCCGACTCTGTCTGGCCATAGTTCCTTCGGGATCGGGCAATCATGACCTTCTTCTCGTCGTCGGTCAGAAAGTGGGCGCTGGCCGGGTCGTTGGGCAGGAGAAACCAGGTGGCGATGCCGAGGACAAAGGTCGGGATGCCTTCAATGATCATGATCCACCGCCAGCCATTGAGCCCCTGGATGCCCTGCATGTGGCCGATGCCGTAGGCCAGGAGACCGCCCAGGGACCCGGCAATGGCGGCGCTGACAAACAGGTAGCCCACGCGCAGCGCCAGCTCCCGCTTGGTGTAGAAAAAGGTCAGGTAGACATTTAGGCCGGGAAACAAGCCGGCCTCGAGAGCGCCCAGGATCAGTCGGCAGGCCAACAGTGACCCAAAGCTGTTGACCAGTCCCGTCAGTGTAGCCACGATTCCCCAGGCGGTTGTAATGAATGCAATCCATCGTCTATATTGAAACGTGTTAGCTTTCTTTCCCCCAAATGAAAGTTGGAGATGGGTAGATTGATCTCTCCCAAACAGTGATGACTCAAACAAGACATGGAAAAAAGGACATCTCCCAGAGTACTTACGACGGCGTGAAGCGCTTGAGAACCAGATTGCTCGGCACTTCAAACAAGAGGTATGTGACAAAGAGGATGGATACGGCGATCTGGTATTGATTTCCAACCAAATTCAAATCCTCTGTCAACTTGTATAGTCTTGCGTTTCCAATATTGACACTATAGAATAACGTTTAGAAATTGATTCCATTGCAGCATGTATTTTTTTTCCCCCCGAGACCAGGACGGCTTCTTTTTCTGAAGGGAGCAGGTGTATTGCATACATACCGGTCGAGGAAGCTAAAGGTATAAAGTAGCATGATGAGCGGAATTAGATGTCGGTCCAACTTGGCAACGAGCTTTTTCTCGTCAACAATGGGATCCGGAGTGGCTGTGGCGACATCGTTGCTCTCGTGGTCACCGAGCTTACGGTCCGCAATGTCTAGAGGAGTGGCGGGTTCCATCTTTGTCGCACCCTTGAAGAGTAGGTATATACTATAATATACGCGAGACGAATGGCGAGTCGACTGCAGTTTGCATCAGATAGTTACAGCAGCTGACTAATACCAGGCCTGAACAATGAGCTGTACAAGAGTATGAAGATGCAAGTCCAAATAGTCTGTTCTGTCTCTGCCTGTCTTGTCTTTTTAGCTCTTCCTCGATCGGCTTTGCAGGGTTGGGCGGGCGCTAGTTAATTTTTAGACTTGGACCGTTGCTGCGTTGATATGACGAGTTTGTCTTCTCTTGACGACAGGAAAGTTCTGGCTTGGTACCAAAATATGTCGCGTCTCGATAGCGCAAGTATTTAAATCTTGTGTCCTGTTTTGTTTTTGAATTTTTTTGGCCGGCGCTTTACTAAGTAAGAGGTTGAGTTGAAATTGCGACCCAGAGGTATAGATACCTGGAGCAGACGGGGGGGGGCTTCTTTATGTAAAGAGCTTATTAACCACGAGATATGCGACCATGAGCGGGCCTCAATCCCCGTATACACACAAGAGAGACAACATGTGCAAGGATATGTTGCGCTGAACGTGCCGGAACTCGCTGATGATGATCACCACAAGTTGTACGGCAGCAGGTGTCTTGTCAGTTGATATTGTTACACACATGTATCTAAGAAGGACAGACTCTCCAGTAAAATTGGAATTCCTCTCAACAATACAAAACATGCGGGCTTCTGTCTCCCCCCAAGATGGTGACTAAAGGGGTGTGGGGAAACGGGTTTCCATCACCGCAAACTTAAAACCGTTATCAGCGGCGGCCCCAAGGTAAAGCCCAAGAAAGTCCAAGCCCTGGACCAGCCGTCTTGGTCAACACTAAGACCGGAACAAGAAATATCAGTCCGGAACTCTTATCTTTCCTCTTCCTCCTCTTCTTGAGCAACCCATCATGATGAGTCAGTAAGCGATTGTATATATTCGTGTCTCATTCTTATCAAATTTAGTAGGCATATATGATTCTCATGTCTACTAGGTATAATATAAGTTCACTCTGAAATTCAAAAGCTTACAATATCCTGAAAATCAAGTTGAGCTGTGTATGTGAACCATACCTTGAAAAGCCCTCACTCCATGTAACGAATAGAACGACTGACAGTGTAGGTAGTAGATATATGTTATCCATCTGATAATCTCTTGATCGGCATCCAGCACTCATGTAGGGCTGAAGAAGCATCGGTCTCATCAGTGATCCTGCCCTCTAAATTGCCTTTACAGTCTTTCAGGGATTTGTCATTGCAGGAATATGTCCTTGACATGATTCGAGTCGTATCACATATCTTCTTTACAAGCACAAGTTTCCGTAGTGTAAGTCTCAAGATCATAATTTTTTTAAATTCTGAGTGTATGCAATGGTGTGGTATCATGGATGCGCCCTTATCTACTGTTGCAGGTTGGCATTAAAAGACACTTTGAGCTTCTTTCAGGCCGACAAAGGAAAGTAAATCGATGAGAAAAACCCCCCAGTGAATGCAATAACCGGGCCAAGTTTCTACTCCTTCCCAAAGCGATAATAGAAAAAAAAAAAGGAGTAAAAAAATAGAAGAAGAAAAGAAAAACAACGCCCAGATAGAATCCTGCTCTCGAAATGACAAACCGAGAGTTGGGAAACAAACTTAACGTTGCCTGAATCTAGATCCTGATGGTCTTCCTGACGCCCGCATAGCATATAACGTTGACGCGAGATCTTTGTCTATCCATCAAACACTTGCTCCGCGTAATCTTCCGTATTTGAGCAGCGCCTGCGGCCCTTCCGATTCATAAGACCAGGTTTTTGGCCGGTAAATATGGGTACTGGGCGGTTTCGTGAGCATCAACGCCTCCACCGCCCGATCCCACATGGCTGTTTGTGCTGCCTCGGTTTGTGCCTCCTAGTTGGCTCGAGGCAGCGGTGGCAAACTCTTGTCCAAGCTTTCTCTGCTAATCACCTTGCGTAGTCCCATCCCCATGCTGTCTTCGCTCTCCCTGCCTTTTCTGGGCTCGTCGAATCGTGGTACAAGGTAGCTGCTCTTAGGGGGCGTGGGTGGACCGCGCCCTCCAATCCCGTGGGGTCCCAGGTTGGTGAAACCGTCAGCCCTCATGCTCCCCGGTGTTTCCATCGCACTGGGCGTGAAGGGCCGCGTACCGCTCGCGCTGCCGTCCCGGCTCCTCACACTTCTTGCGCTAGTGACACTCGCAGCCTCGGCTGATTCCTCAACGACAGGAAGAACCGCGTGTGAGTTGCCCTTGCCCTGGTTGTTGCCCGACTCAGCAGCAATGGCTCGTATGACTCGCTCCGGCAGCTGGTCCTCCATGGCAACAAGCTTCTCCTTCTTTGTTGCCTTCTTCAGTGCCTTTTCAACAGTTGGGTTGGGCTCTGGAGACTGAGGGCTTCGCATGCCAGGTGGGGCGGGAGGCAGGTAGGAGGGATGAGTTGGACCAGCGCCCGTAGAGCTGCGGCCGTGAGCGGCTTCACCATCTTCCGCTGTGGCTGCGGCAGCTTGTGCTGCGGCCTCGCGATCGAGGGCATCTCGCTCTGCCTCTTCTGAGGACATGGTGACGCCTGCCATGAATTTGATAAAACGCTCGCCATACTCCTGAGGCGGAAGCGCGGATATCTGACTGCGATCACTGGAGAGACCCTTCCAGAAGTGCTCTATCTTCTTGATCACGCCATACTGTAGAACATTAGTACTGAAATGAATTTGTTGGGTTTCAAATATACTCACGTGCGTCAGACAGTCAATCACTCCCAGGTAATAGATCTCTTCACCTGGAGTGTTGTCTTCGTGCGTTGCCCTCAGGCCGCCATCATCATTGTAGAAGATGCCACCGCGACCGTAACCCTCTTCCAATTCCTCGGGCATCGGGGTACTGCTCTCCCCCATTGGGACTGGCCTTTCAGCTTTGATCATTTCCCTGAGTTCTCTGGCCTTGCGGGCGCTCTCGAGCTTTGATGGTGTTCTCAGGAGAATCTGGTGGGGGTCGACTTCATCGGCATTGTCGGCACCGCCGGGATTGAAAACCTGCAGTGTCTTGCCTCGGAGGTTTTCCTCATTGCCCTTCTTGAGGTCATGGACACCAATGAGAAGAGAGTAATCCATAATCTGCAACTTCTGCATAAGGCGAACGTCACGCTCTAGTTGCTGGAGGAACAATTGCTTCTTGTGCAGCCCCATCTCTAGATGTCTCTTTCTCCTGAGCCAGTTGAGATCTTTGAGCGTCGCCCTTGGATTCTTTTCGAGGTCTTCCTCTCTGTAGTCTCGGCCCACCGTGGAGCCCTTCAAGTCGAAAGTCTGGTGGATGTCGCGGTGGGGCGGGAACAGGTTGTTCATGACGACAAAATGAATCTTCTTGCCAGACCAAGGCATCTTGACACGGTGGAGACCGTAAAATTGAGAGAGAAGTGTGTTGGGGTTGTCGGCGACATGGTTGTAGTACTCCTTCAAGATCTTGCGCAAAAACTTGTGCTCGGCGTGGTGAATGGTCTTGATGATGTACTTGTAGTCTCGAGAGAAGTAGAAGAAGCTGCCACTTTTTCCTGGAGAGCCCAGCTCAGAAAGGATATACTTGCCGGTTAGCGACATAAGATAATCGGCAGGGTCCAATCCAAAAAGTGCGCGGAGATGCCTAAACACCCAGGGGGCGTAGTCCTTAAACTTGAAGTCGTACTTGGCAGAAGGCACCAACTCGTTTCCAGTGATGTCAAAGGTCGACTTCTGTTTGGCCTCAAAGTCTGCATCAGTGAGGGGGCGGTCTAGCTTGGCATTCGTCCGCGAAACAGAGACCCGGATACCGGTTAACATGTTATACGCCGTTGTCCAGTTCGCGTGATTCTCGTCGACCTTGGTACCAACCAAGACCTTATCGTCGTCCAGATCCTCCTTTCTCTTTTTCTTTGCTCGCTTCTGCCGGTATGCCTCTGCCCAACGCATAGCATCATCATCCAGGGCGACCTCATCCCGCGGAACCTCTGAGTGTACTGAGCGAGTGTTTCTTCGACCTAGGGTCAAAGACGCCCTGCGACCAGTGGGACCTGCTACGGTCGGAGAGAAGCGGCCACTGGCATATGCATCTCCTGCACTATCTCGAGACCCCCGGCCCTGCTGAACCCTTGGAACTTCCAAAGTATGTCTCTGCTTGAGTTGGGGTGTTGGGGGTCCAAGAACAGATGCCGAAGCCGAAGGCGTGCCAACAGTTGCCGGAGATGAAAAGCGGTGAGGAGAGTTTGTGTTTTGCTGAGAAGGTTCGGGTGTGGTTGTGATAGAAGGGGTTAGTAGAGCACCAGCAAAGTTTTGGTACGTCCCAGACGCATAGTCATTGGAGACTCTTGGCGTCCTGTCACCATTGCTCAGTGGCCTTGAGGGCGCACCATCCATGAAGTTCTGCTGCAGTGATGCCCGTCCCGATGACTCAATCGAAGGCCGCTTCGACAGGCCATCATGCATGTTGAAGTACTGCGTTGATTGGTGTCCGTGCACTGTCGGCGAGGACGAGGACGTCGAGGTCCTGCCGTTCATCATGGGCCGGGAATCAGAAGAAGACCTCTCGGCGGCAGCCAATGTCCTTCCGTTGTAGCCATTGTGTGCTCTTTTCACGTCGGCTGCAGCAGAGTTGTTGTTGATGGATTCCGAGGTGCTGTCGGGGCGAGAGTTGACGCCATGGAGCGACCCGTTTGTCGACCTGCCTCCGTTCGGCAGGGGCGTCATAGTCGTGTTTGATGCCGAGACCCCATTCACGCGCGATCTAGGACCAGAAGTATCCGAGGAATGGGACGACGAGTTATCGAACTCGTCGTAACTGTTGGGCTCGGGACGGCCGATGACGGGAAAGGACGAAGAAGGCAGCTGCGTCCCTTGCTTCACGGGGTAATGCGCGGAGTGGGAGTCGGTGAGATGAATGACTCCAGAATTGGACGAAAAGATAGGGGCGTTCTCGTCGCTGGCAAAGGATGGCATATCTGCCCGAAAATCTTTTTTTTTTCCCTTCCTTTTGTTGGTCGTCGACCTCCTGAGCTGAGCTGGGCTGAGCTGAGCTTGGCTGGGCTGGGGGGGTTATGGTGCCGTTTTGAAGTGAGTCTCTTTCTTTCTCTCAATCTCCCACTGGCTGCTCCAAATTCCCAGGTGCAGAGGGATCGCCGGAGGCCGATCAAGCCGACGGGCACCAGAGGCTAGGTGCAGATGCAGACTAGAGGGGTTTGAAGGAAAGGAAGAGAGGGAGGAAAAAAAGCAACTGAGGAAAAAGACTACTCGAAAAGTGTTTTTTCTCTCCTTTCGTGACTTTGGTTTGGTCGCTAAATGAGGAAAAAAAAAACAGATACACGCAAAAAGTCTACGGGGTGACGACAACAAGCACCAAAGCGATGGGAAACACGAAAATAGGAGGTTGAATTGGGCCAAAGCTGGGAAGCGAGCGAAGTGCAGGAGCGACGTCAAATCAGAGGCAGAAAGTTGGCACGGGGCGACGGGAGGTGGTCAGTTCTACGAGAAAAAGAGTGGATATTTGCGGTGCGCGCACTGGAACGGGACCATGGAAAGCCAAGGTACATTACCTAGCAAGCCTAATGTAGGTTGGACCTGGACCTGGACAACTGGAGCGTCCGCCCGTGGCCCAGCTGCCCAGCTGAGCTGAGCACAGCACAGCACAGCACTACACTGCATTGCTTGCATTGCTTGCAACTTGCATCGTACCGGGGGGCTTGGGGGTCAGTTTTTTTTTTTTCTCTCTCGCAGCGAGTGGGTGGGTTCTTTCAGTTAAGAGTGGATAGTCTTGCAGGCATTTGGACTGGACCATTTTCTTGACACTGGACCCCATCCCCGACTCTGTTTGTTTTTAGGTAAGCGTCCGTCTCATCTTTATGCTGATTGATGACCTCGGGAATGGACATGCTGTCTCTTCTTGAAATTTTATTTCTGGGGCTCGACTTGCAGTTTGCTTTAGAGCAAGCACATACTATGTACATAGGTAGCATGGGATAGTTATCGCGGCTCAAAACATTACTGAGATTCCAAAAAGGTACATATCTAAAATGTTTGCGTGCTTCAGTCAAGAAGTATCCCTCGGTCTGTATCCAAACAGGAAGTGCTGCTACTGCGGGCGCCAACTTTCCGCCCATCATAAGCTTACACAAAAGGGACTCATATGGCAACGGCTTTCGGCAACTTGCCAAGCTTTCCTTGTCCAATCCCACATTCTCTCTCGAGCAAGTGCTCAGCATCTAATATAGGTACTGGATAGTAGGGGACCGGCATTAATATTGGCGGTAGATGGACACACATTTACAAGGGAGAGGGGGAGAGAGAGAGAAAACGCCCCTCGAGTCTAATTGTACTACTGTGTTGATGTAGTACCTAAACGAGGCCACAGCAGCACGCGCCCGGATACGACGACATTAACACCATTTGGCATCTGCTTGTTTTCTACATCCCGCCGTCTTCTTCCCTCGCTTTAGGGCGACTGTACGGTACACTGCCTACAACACACAGTAGGTACTTCAAGTCATCAGAGCAGATGGGCCGAGAATCTGGGGGGCTTGTTTCCTTAGTTGGTATGTGCATGCATACGTACATCAGAGACTCAGAAATCAAAGTGATGCGCATAAAATTCCTACCTACCTGACCAGAAGTACTGCAGTAGGGGTTCAACGCTCTGCGCCCGCTGGCTGGGTAAGGTGCATTGAGGTAGCCTCATTCTGCTATTTCTAGTGGGCCGAACAGCCACACTCGATAATTTCAGCATGCTAGCCCAACTACGGATTGTGACGAATCTAGAGTATTCGCTAAATTGTACGCCATCTACCGCCTACATGACAGGAGCAGGGCTGGAGCCGGTAATCCAGTCACCCTAGGTACCTTACCTGGCAAGCCTGGGTACCTTGATGTAATGCCCAGGTGTCCCTACATAATGTACATTACAAGATACCTAGTATGCACTCGTCCCCGTTGGACTTCTTTCATGTCATTTTTGTGCAGTAATGGCCACCAAACAACATTGAAGTGTTATTGAATGTCTTATCCAAATGTGTAGGACGGGCTGCGGCAATTGCGATCTTCTGCATTGCCCAGCATGGAATGCACTTACAAAAAGGGGGCCATTGGTCCTCAGCATATAGTGTACAAAGAAATAAAAGGGAACATTGGTGAACGACATTACCAAGGAACGGTCCGTCCGATGTGTGCCCGGCCCCTACAATGTTGGATTGGCCGTCGCACGTCTTTCCCGGCCTGTTGGGTATGTAGGTATGGATGGATGACGCAACAGACAGCAGAACGATCTGTCCCCGGACATGACGATACTCCCGAGACTACGAAAGCGAGCGAAACAAAAGAAGCAGTGGAAATAGAAGGATGAGAACCTTTCGAAGCGCCCTTCTCACGGCCCCACGATTTCCGTGGGCAATTTTACTTAGCTCAGGCACACGGACACGAGGTTGACGCTTCAAGGACCGATCTTGCCGAACATTTGAGTCCTTTTTTTTTTTTTTTTTTTTTTTTGGCTGCCTCCATCTATCCAGTACGGAATACTACTCGACGTATTAGTCCACAGATTATTATATGGTATAGGTGAATAGATAGCTGCGGATCTCTCCTTTGGAACTTGCTTTAGCTTTCAATTCTACTAAACAACGCATCGCCCAATCCGGTACTCATTACATTAATACATCGTTCAGCAATTGAAAGGCAACACCAGATCAAGGTGTGGCTTGCATAGCTGATAGATGCCACAACTGCAATTGAAGTGACAGGCACCCCTGGAAGTCCTGACACGACCCTGGGGCCAAACTTTGGAGAAAAACGGGAAACGAGCAGACGGGAGACAAGGAGAGACAAATGGCCACGACTCTGTCCTGTAGTATGAGGTCACTGATCGCCCAGTAATTGCACATCACTGCTGCACTTGAAAGAGAATCGATATCACTGATGTGTAATTCGCCATTCAAGTCGTACCTCGATGCGCAATCATGACTGAATAATGCATTCCTGGACTAACATCGTTCGTGCCGAGTCTGAGAGCCTTCTATAATTGTAGGCGGGCTGAGGGTGTACGTACGGGTTGTTACACAAGCAGCGCGCCAACTCATCACCGCATGTGCGCACTTGGCATCTAAGCAACAGATACCGTTGCTCCAGCCATGGCTTATCTTGGAAGCACACGGTGGGCAACATACCATCAGCAAATGATACATGGATAATGTTCCAGCGACCACTCTGAAACTTCAGCACGGCAATTTTGCAGGCATATGCATACCACCTGGTATATGTATGCCTTCTTGGCCGCCTGCCCTGGGCGCCAAATGACGGGCGAATTTTCTGCAAAGGAAAGCCATGAGGTTGGTCCCAGCCGCTGACGAGTTATACACACGAAATACACATCACCGTGTGTGAAAAGCCGTGTTTGAGTGAGAGATGCCGAGTTGGCGGGTCCGATTCACCTCCAACTCCCCAAACCTCCCGTTGGTATATACACATCAAAGTACAGAATGATACAGGATGACTTTTGAAGGCCAAACCGCATTGTACGTAATTCGCTACGCATTATGGAAACACATTCATCGTCTGTGAACATCTCTTTATCGCCGTGTTGAGCCAGGCTGATCACCAGGGCCCTCGATGGCTATCTTGCTGGCGCTTTCATGATGTAACCTCTCCAGCGTCTTCTTCTTCTGGTAGTCGGCTACGCGATATTGCTTGAAGTATTTGACCTACGAGTCGTTAGTAGGGAGTCTCACCTTTCACCAACTGCCGTATATAAGAAAACTGCAGACAGGCAACTAGATGGCCTTGATCTTACCCAAGCTGCGGCGCAGTCCTCTTCGAATTTCTTGCCTTCGCTGACGCATTCCTTGTCGGCCTTGGCCTTGCCTTCGCCCTTGGTGGAATCTATCACGTCGTGCTTATCGAGACAAGCGTAGAAACCATCGCGCGCCTCCCAGCATCTTTTCCGCTCTGATCGGTCGGGGACAACGGCGCCCTTTCGCACCTCCTCCTTGCGCTTGGCGTCTGGTGACGAGAAATAGTCAAAGATGCCCATTATGGCGGTTCCTTTTTTGGTCGATGATGGCTGCTTCGGTGGGAGATTTCGTGTATATCGACGTTACTGAGAGTATATCACGTCGCGGAAGTACAAAGATTCGAGCTGTTGCTGTTCATTCAAAGAGGATTCTGCATAGATATAGAACCTAGGAAAGCTGAAGCTCTAAAAGTCGTCATAGAGCTTTGCTTGGAGCTCACCCACTAGAAGAAGTGGCAGAAGGGCCATAGCAAGCAGGCGGTGTGGTCTGGAGAGGCTTAGTGTACTTCTGCAGCCCGTAGAGACTAGTGTTCGCGCTTGGGTTAAGGGCCCGCCCGAATGTACCGTACCCGAGTCCAGGTAGCCAATGTTTCGTCGCATCTCAATGTCTGTCTGTCTTGAACTTTGACAGCTTTGGGAGAAGGGGACAGACATACAACAACAACAACAACAATTTAGACACGACGACATCTTTGCTCTCCCGCGAGCCGCACAAACCGCATCTGCCTACCTGAACCATTCTATTCCCGCAGAAGTCGTTCAACCAAGGCCAAGCACGGGCTAGACGAAACGAAACAATATCACAGTACTGCGCATAGGTCCTGGGACGAACATGTCGTAATAGCAGCATCCTCAACACCGACCAACAGATACATCTTCACTTCGATACACTCCTTCACTCGTGCCTTTGCCAGCTGCGATACCAATTTTTCCACACTAGCTCTATAGAAACTTTTCTTTCCACTGCGTGCGACCCTCGCACTCTACGCAACCCACCCTCCCATCTCGTCCCCCCTTTCCCGCCGTATCCAGCACTCTCTCAGCTAGACTACTCGAATCGCCAACATGGCTCGAAGGAGGAAACCACCGCGAAGTGGCGCCATTGCTGAGCTGCCACCTCTCCGCATAGCCGGACAGATTGCGGCGCTTCAGGCGATATACTATGCTGCGGCCTTGGTCCTCATGCTTTTCATGTCGCTTGTTGCTGGAACTGGGTTCAGCCTCGACTTGGTGTTTGGCTGGGGCTCGTTGCGCGGCGACACGACACAGGGCTGGCTGGTGGGCTTTGTGTGGTTATGTTGCGCTGGTGCTGTGTACGTGAAATCCCTATTGGTTGGCCGCGATACTCTGTTCTGTCGTTTGCCGTCTTCTTTGCACAAGCGACAGACACGACCAAGACTCCCACGTTGAACTTGTGCTAACTAGAACGACAGTGTTATTGGCCTTGTCGCACTAATAGCACGCTCCAAACTGATACCCGATTTCGCGTTGACGCTCCACTTTATACATCTCGTCGTGGTCTACTTGTACACTGGCTTGCTGCCACGGTTCGCCATGTGGTGGATAACAATGGGTGTGTCGAGCGCTGCTACCGTTGCCCTCGGTGTATACGGCTGTAGATGGCGAGAATTGCGGCCTATATCCTTTGGTGGTACTGCCAGATCGAACAACGAGCAGAGCGCGGCAGAAAATGGTCTTGCTGATGGCGGATCGGCCGCTGGCGACGAAGAGATGGGTTTCTCCAGGGGAAGAGGCAGAGGCAGAGGCAGGGATGGCGCCGGAGAATATGAAATGGTGGGCCTCAAGCCTGAAGACAGGTAAACCGCTGCCCGGTCACCAAGCCCCTGCAGGGAAGGTTTTGTTTCTTGAAGAAGCTTATAGACGGGACCGATTTGGTTTAACCGCGTGGCGTTTTGGGCTGTATGAGTAGAAAAGGGGAACAGACACCAGCCGGAAGCCTTAACTATCGGCTTAGCATGTTAGATGTGGTAATACCTCGAATGACACGACTTATGACCTTTCACAAAGATTCGATGTTGGGGCAGGCTTTGCGCCTGGTGGCTCGAAACATGTGTTGGTTGCTGAACTCACGTCTAGAACCGTGTAAGTGTCATGACTCTACTACCAGCTGCGCAGTGCGTCAGCACCGAGATATTGGATACGTTGTTGGTAGATACCAGCAATACAAACAGATCTGCTGCGGCCTAGGCAAAACCCACTGACTCAATGCTAGACACCCAAGCCAGTAACAAAATGGGATTCTTCATATACCAAAGAGCCTCATGGACCATCGTTTGCCTCAATATACCGAGTCTGCCAATTTGGAATGCTGTTCCGGGGTTTTCGGTCTCGGTAGCACTAGGAGATGTATGAATGGTACGGCAATATAACATCTTTTTACACGGCTCTGTAAGGTTGATATGTCCCACAGGAAAATTACGTGTTTCAATCAGGAAAGCTAGAATTTTCTTGATAGTTAAGGTAGAGCTGTGTGCCATATTAGTCTTGAATAAAGTTTTATAAGTTGTGCTTTTATGGATAAAGCCCCTTTACTGTGCCATTTATGTAGAGGGGGATTTTCTAATGTTGTGCCACCTGCTACCGGTAGCATACACGTAAAAGAATTAAAAAATAAAATAAAATAAGCTGATTATTGTAAGGGATATATATCGATGTATATCCCTATCCGGCGGGCACGGTGGAAGTTTCATAATAAAAAATAACACGACCCAATCTAGATATACACCTTGACCGTTTCCAACTACCTAGGAATATCCAGCCTTTCTTTCCACTTGCTTAACGCGCATTAATCGTGCTAATGTCGGGCCGCCTTACAAGTCATGTATACATATACTAATGTATGATCGACCTGTCAGAGAATCATATGCCACCGACCAACACAAGCACACTTTCAGTTCTCGTCACCCTCCTGTTTCTAGTCAACTGCCATTCCCTCACAGCAATATGATCGCCCTAGTAAAAGACCCATCCCTTGATTTTGGATCTATCATTCCAATTTCGGTCCTCCCCATTTCCCCCATGTGCGACCCACACACGCCCGCCTCGTCTTTTCTTAGTCGAGCAAATTTTTTGCAAGTCTTCATGATACGTAATAACTAGGACCGTTTTCATCAATCAGCGAGTCAGCAAACAACTGACTTTCTCATTCATCACCGACCTCGTCGTCGGCCCGGTTAGCTCAATCGGTAGAGCGTGAGACTCTTAATCTCAAGGTTGCGGGTTCGACCCCCGCATTGGGCTCAATTCCCAATGCGTTCTATGCAATAGAACAATTTGACAACTCTTCTTTTTTGTTTTTTCATTTTATATTTTGGTCTTGTCTGATTGGCCAGTAACATTCAAGCCTCTCTTTCTCTCTAAAAGTGCTTGTCCTTTTATTTCCTGGGTGTCTGGTAGTTTCTGGAGAGACCGCCGTGAACGTTATATTATCAAACGCCAAGTTCAAAACTTTACGCCAGTAGGTACCCTGAAAAGAGGAGCATGAGTGGACAGCTCCATGCTCCTCAACCTTGGGCTGATTCCCGATCTGCCAAACTACGATGCTGATCTATATTACAGTTGTACCAAGTTCATTGGGATATCTTGGGGGCCACTGGGATGCTTTGTTTCAAGCCGTGGATATATATGCTTGAATGACCAAGTATGGCGTTTTGTATGCTATAAGCTGAGCATAACCCTATCGAATCACGGTCCATCAGTTGAAATGGGTAAAACTAGAACTAATCCTAGCCAGCTAGAAACACAATATCTTCATCTATTAATGAATGGTCTCTTAGGCTGGTCTTTTGTATTATTGGATGACACTGATACTGCTTCAGCACTCTACTCCTTTGACGATTACGATCAGACCAAGAAGTTGAGTGGCTCTTTATGGAAATGTGACGCTCAACTTTCTCGAATCCGCAGGAATTCAAATGCACTTCGCTGCAGGTATATTGTGTTATTCAGCCACAAGATATGATCCCAGGGTCAATCCCAAGCTCAATCAACATGATCGGTATACTGATTTGAATTTGCCTGAACGTATCTTCATGTGCTCTTTCCCAACATGAATGCATCCTTGTTGGCAAATTCGAACTTAAATCTCATCTGTCTTCACAGACTCCACAATACTTTCAATATCGTTGTGGTAATTACATGTAGAACATACATCATGTTCACCTGGGCAACAAATATGCAACGAGTATCGAATTACAACGCAAAGCAAATTTATAACAGCTTACCTTGTTTCAATCAAATGACGGTAGTGTTATACCACCCGCCATTATCTTTAGGCAGTAAAATAAAGGCCTTCATGGGCTAAAGGCCAACAGCCAGGACTATATTGCCCTTTGCTCTTCGGAGCAAAAGTATCCATAAACTAGAAGTCTCCCGTTCCGATGTCATTTTCCAACAATCGAGAGCTATAAAGCATCCGAGCCCTGAACCAAATGAATCGATGACACTGCACGCGGCAGATCTTCCGGCAGGCTTCTCGTGTTACTCCGCGTGTATCTACTATCTCTGCGGCTTGTCAGACTCGGACGCGAGCTGGGCACGTGGGGGAGCAGTCTGCAAACATAACGGTATACTATTTAGTGTACATGCTAGGACGAACATTTATATCGGACTACTGAATAGCTAATACCAAGTCAGCGACAGAGACTAACCTTCCGTGTTCAAACCCATCAAGTCAAGCTTATTGATCATGATGCTCCGTACCAGGCGACCGGGTCGCTACCACTGGCCTCTTTCGGCAGGCCTTGCCGCGGTGTCGTTGAATTCCGATGATGCCTTGCACCATGCCGGCTGGGACCAATCTCAACCTGGCAAATGGCGCATTGGAGTAAAGTTGCTTATCAGAGTTCCAACGCAGCTGCGCTGGTGTAATGTGGGCAGACGTGCGGAGTATAGCCAGCCATATACTAGTTCCGGGCAGACTTGGCAAACATGGTCTAGCGCAAACAAGTCGACATCTAGATATTCAAGACTATTCTCCCCAAGCTTCCATGCAACAACCCAACATCCCAGGCCTGCCTAGGCAATCGCCCGTGAGCTCCAAACTGCGGTGTCAATGGGAAGGGGAAACAAGGTTGTTCATACTCGGAATACACACCGGCATTCCCGACTTTCCATTGGCATGCTGCCGGTCGTGGAAGGCTGGATGAACCCTGGACCTTGGCTTCTTATCTATGGAGTCAGGACGCCGACCCGGTCGCTTAAAATTTGGAGCGACGATGCTTACGACAACTCCATCACCTGCTTCTGTCACACATCAAACTACTGTGTATACAGAAGAATCTCTCTGGCCGACCGAGATTCCCAAGGTTTGATAAAGTGCAGTCGCAAGCATAAACATTGCAGCTTGGTCAGGGTACATGTACTGTATAATGGTTGCTGGGGAATACCCTTGCCTAGTGGTGCGGAGCAGACCGCACAGATGCAGTCCCCAGATATGTACGTATGTTGCTGGGTCGGAGAGATATGCTTGCTGGGCCAGAAATTCTGTCACCGGTATGCGGTGGTTCTCGGTATTCCCAACCTTTGTAGACATGGGGTAAAAGATCTCACTATCACTAGCGGATGCTGCCGATATCTCGGACGTAGCCCATCGTGACGGACGAACAGCATGGGCTGACTTGATATCAGACATGGGAGACTCTTGTAGTCACGATAGCAGATGGATATAAATATACAGTGGCGGGATCGTCGCCAAGTCGATATGGTATGGGACTTGGTACTCTCGGAGAGCTCGTACTTAAAACTTTGTTGCTCACGACTTGATCTCTGATCCTAGGAGTTGATCAAGATGAGACTGTCAGCCCTATCTAGTCCCGGGGCCGCGGCCACCGCGGTTCTGGCCCTTCTATCCTCTGCAGACCTCGTCCTGGCCCGCCCCAGTCCTGAGCCAAAGGTTCCTGCACGTATGAAATGGACCAACCAGCGCGGCAAAAAGGTGGCCAGGACTGTCCTGAGGAACGTTCTCGAGGGACGCACCTTTACCAACTCCTTCGCGATTGCTGCCTGCAGCACTTCTCAGGCCAATGCCATCTCGGCACCCTACGATAATGTTTGGGTTGGTCTTTCAGATGCCGAAGCCGTTTCAGTTGTTGCATGGCTCTTTGGCCAGGAGAGTCTCAACTTGACCGAAACGGAGGACGCCGGAGAATGGGATAATACGGTGTAAGTGCTATGCTTCCTTACATAGATTGAGACTGTATTGACATGACCCCTACAGGATTTTGGTCGAGCTGCAGATCCCCAATAAGACAGACGTCTTGGCTCACATTGATGGCGGTGCAGCGGCCCCGGAGAGATGGGCTCATGTTATTCTCGACTATCGTGCTACCGAGGACCCCTACTACCAGGATCTCTTGGTCGGTCCCCTGCCACTGAATAGCGAAACTGTCACCATCAAGCCTCTCGAGTATCCCCTCACTCGCAAGACTGAGGGCAAGGTCCGCAACCTGGAGGCTAACTCTGAGACCATCTATTCTGAGTGGCTGTACAAGATTGGTGCCGAAGTCGCCGACATTACCCAGGACCTCTGGGGCGCTCAGGCGACGGGCCAGGACAATGATACTATTGACATTTGGGGCATTGACCCCTACTGGCAGGACGACGGTCGGGTCGTGCGCTGGGATATGTTTTGGAATCTGCCGCAGGACTACTTTGACACCGAGACTCTGCTGCCGCTGGGCCTGTACTTCAAGAGCGATGTCACGGGCCGTGATCCCAGCCAGTGGGAACTCCAGGGTTGGCTATATAACAACATCTTCTACGAGACCACTGAAGAGTTCCGTACCGCCTACTGGAACGGCTCGATTGAGAAGCTCGGCGCCAATGTTGAGGGTGACTGGGGCCGGACCGATCCCATTAATGCCAATATGCCGTATGATTCGAGCTACCCTCCAGTCTCTATTGCCCCGGCCGGCTCCCGTTACGGTGTCGATATTGAGCGCAAGTACGTCGAGTGGATGGACTTTAGCTTCTATGTCGGTTTCTCGCGAGATGTCGGCATGACTATCTATGACATTAAGTATAAGGGAGAGCGTTTGCGTAAGTGGTTTCATCTCGTCACATTCCGTGTACCTGTATCGCCCAGTCAGTCAGTAATGGCTCTTCGATGATGGCGGTCTCAGGCCCTTGTATGACAAAGTCTCTTTGAACAAGGAAGATTACTGACGTGGCATATTGTAGTCTACGAGCTTGGTCTTCAAGAAGCCATGGCCCATTATGCCGGTGGTGACCCCGTTCAGTCTGGCACAACCTATCTTGATACGTATTACGGATTCGGACCATATGCTTTTGAGCTGATTCCCGGCTATGACTGCCCCGAGTACGCAACCTTCCTTAACTCGACCTTTTACGTCGACGAGACCACCCATACCCACCTCAACAGCATCTGTCTGTTCGAGTTCACCTCGGACTACCCGATCCAGCGCCACAGCAGCGGCGAGTACGTGACCGCCACCAAGGAGACGCACTTTAGCATCCGCTCCGTGTCGACTGTGGGAAACTATGATTACATGTTCACCTACAGCTTCAAGCTCGACGGCACCATCTCGGCCGAGGTCCGCGCTTCTGGCTACATCCAGTCGGCTTACTTCACCACCGGCTCCGACTTTGGTTTCAAGATTCAGGAGAACCTATCCGGTTCCATGCACGATCATGTCCTCAATTTCAAGGCAGACTTTGACATCCTTGGAACGGCCAACTCGATCCAAACCATGACCAATGGTAAGTACCCAAGATTAAAAGATGCGATAGTGATCCCCGAAAGGCGTCCATAACGTTACATGGAAGACGAGTAATAGCTGACCATCATGGCCCACCAGTACCCGTATCACGTGTCTTCCCCTGGTCCGGAGGCAAAGCCCGCAACACAATGCAAGTGGTCCGCGAGTTCATCGACACCGAGGACCAGGGACGCTTCAACTGGGCGCCCAACGTTGCGCAGCAGGTGCTCGTCGTCAACAAGGACGAGAAGAACCAGTGGGGCGAGTTACGGGGTTACCACGTGCTGCCCATGTCGGGCGCCATGCACCTCACGGTCCAAAACTCGAGCAATCTGGCCGAGGCTGGACGCTGGGCCGAGTTTGACGTCCAGGTGACGCGCCAGCACGACTGGGAGCCGCGCGCCGCTCACCCCTACAACTCCCAGGATGTCAATGACCCGCCCATCAACTTTGCCCGCTTCTTTGACGGCGAGTCTCTTGATCAGGAGGATATCGTGCTCTGGCTAAACCTGGGTATGCACCATGTTCCTCATACTGGTGATTTGCCCAATACCGTCTTCACCACCGCACATGCTGGCGTGCAATTTATGCCCAGCAACTACTTTGACATTGATCAGAGTCGCCGCACAGTCAATGCTGTACGTGTCAATTACGAGAACGGTACCGCCACCGACGTCGAGACCTTTGGACAAAAAGACCAGTCGTGCTCGGTCGACTTTACTCCAGTCGAATATGATCTATGGGGTTACAAGGGCGACGTTGTCGTCAGGAAATTTCCTTACGACCCCAACAACCCGTATTATGAGACTGATGCCATTGTCTAGTCCGGGTCAGATGGCAATGAGTAATGACTGAACGAAAAATATAGTGCTAGGACGTGTTATCAATAATTAGCAACCCTTATATCACGAGCTCCTGACTATTTTGCCTTAAAATCAACGTGAACCGATGGACGACGAGGAAAGGCCGGCGTTTAATGGTCTTGGAGAAGCACGCCATAATCAGAGAGGATGATGAGTCATAAGTTGCCATGCCCGTCAAATCAGGTGCTAGGCCAGATCTTTCCATTATCGTCGCGAAACGACGTGACTAATATTATCGTGCGGCTTCACGTGTCGTGCTCGCATTGAGTCGATGCATCACACACAAAATTGTAGGATTATGTAGATATTTTCATATTCGGATTTATATGCGCAAGTCTTGATTGTATACTGTGTCTTTGATCATACCCAAGCCCTTCTTGGGTTACCGAACTCCGGTGCGTAATGCAAAACCCAGACGAGTGAGTTTTTCTTTTGAAGATCGAGGACCAGTCGACCAGAACCAAAACATTCCTAAACTGCAACGATTGCAGCGCGCAGCGTTGGGTATCTTTGGACAAGCATTATTAAGCCATTGTTTTTCCGACAGTGCGGCGTCACAATTTGTGCGCCTGCAGCCCGTTTGCCTTTGCATAGTTCGGATCTCTCCTTGTGGAGAATTTGGTCGACGTGGGAAGAAGTGAAGATGCGTAACGAATGCGGGCCCAACCTCCATCCTCATTACTAATAGTTGATTTCCATGTATCACAACTCCAAGGTGCCCTGGTCGTCTCAAGTCTTCCCATGCCAACGTCATGATATAACGCCGTGCCGTGATTCTAAAAAGTTCAGATTGAAAAAAATTGCTGACATCACAGCGTGAACTCCTCTATACCAGTTTCATCTTGGTGTCGGCAACACCAGCTGCAATGACATCATCTAGTTGCCATCGTGGTGCGTCGTATGATTCTTCCAGGCCATTCTCCTTTCTCCATTCAGCCTCGTTCTCAGCGGTGATGCCAGGGGGGAGCTTTTGCCCGCCAGCAATTCCAGTGGAGAACTTGAGCTGAAGGATATCTCCAACTTCGTCGCAAGCTGCCAAGAGGCGGTCCATGTCATCCTTGTTGTGTGCAGCCGACACACAGAAACGTACACGGGAGCTGATCAAGGGAGTCGCAGGGTAACCAACAATGACAACAGAGATCTTGCGCTTCAACATCTCGTGACTGAAAGCAGACATCTTGCCAGGGTTGTAGAGTGGAACGGGGATAATGGGCGAATCGTCGTGGCCGTAAACAATGAGACCGAGACGCTTGAGACCGAGTCTGAGGTACCGAGAGTTGAAAGCGATTCTCTGCAGGCGCTCCTCGCCCTGGCCGGGAATGAGTTCGCCAGTAATCAGCTTGAGCGAGGCGAGAATCTGCATCAGTACAGACGGAGCGGGAGCTTCTCCCAACTGAGTGGCAGCATTGACGCCGCGGAGCTTGGCAATGATGGAGGGTTCAGCAGCCACGTAACCACCGTTGGCACCGAAAGACTTGGTGAGGGTTCCCATGAGAATATCAACCTTGGCAGGGTCAATGCCGAAGTAATCGCAGACACCACGTCCGTTGGGACCAAGTGCACCGATGCTGTGGGCCTCGTCAACAAAGAGGTAAAATTTGTAGGTTTCCTTGAGCTTCAGAATTCCAGGCAGATCGCACATGGTACCCTCCATTGAGTACAGACCCTCGACAGCTACCAGAATCTTCTTCCATGGACGGTGGGTACGCGGCTGGCCTTGTGCAATGGCCTCACGGAGCTTCTTCTCCAGCTCAAACATGTCGTTGTGCTTGAAAGAGCGAACGACAGCACCAGACAGACGTGCACCCACACGGATGGAGGCATGGTTGAGCTCATCAGAGATGATCAGACAACCCTTGGAAACCAGGGCGGGGAAAGAGCTAGCATTGGTGACGAAACCCATAGAGAAGACCATGGCGGCGGGCTTGCCAACAAACTTGGCAACCTCCTTTTCGACCTCGACTGCCAGATCTGACGTTCCAACGTCTCCGCGAGGGCTGCAGAAGCTCAGTCCGTATTTGCGAACACACTCCTCGACGGCATCAGCACAGGGGCCCTCGGACTGAGCGAATCCGAGGTAGTTGTATGAGCTCATGTTGAGGGTCTCAGTGTGACTGCCGGTGAACTTGTAGGATCGGTTGTAGTCGGAAGAGACGCGATCCATGAGGGTAATGTAGCGACCAGGAACGCCAGTGGTAGGGCGAGCGAAGCAGTCGTCAATACGCAGCTTCAGTCTCCGAACGTAGAAGCTGTCGAAATCGTCCGTCAGGGGGGCATATCCGTTAATGGGCTTGACGCTCTTGTACATGGGGTTCTTGCTGAACCTCTTGCCAAAGAAGTCGCGGACGTGGCCCAGGGCAATCAAAAGCAGGTAGCTGATGTAGGTGGTGAGAACAAAGTAGTAGGGCGGCTCGTCAATGACGGGAGCTTTCAAGGGCTCTCCGTGATGCTTGCTGACATATCGATGAGTGGCATGGTTGAGAGGACCAAATTGAGCATCAGCACGTCTCTTCAGCGTGATCTCCTCGGACGAAGGCGGCTGGAACAGGGTGGTAGGTTGCTCTTCATTGTTAGGTTCACCGGCAGTAGCGGTTGAGAGGGAGATGCTAGGAAGCGAGAGGCTCGGGGCGGTGATGGACCGCGTTGAGTTGTTCTGCATGGCCATGAGAGCCTGCTGAGCAGTAGGCTGCTCTTTTTGCCGGGGCATCACAGAGAAGAACTGGCTCAGGCGGTTGGCCTTTGAGGTAGACGGTCTCCTATCGCCAGTCTTTTCTGTCTCTGGCATGCTGTTCGAAGATGTGAAAGGTATCGAAATTCGACGGGGCATTGCTAAGGATGACCGAGAACTACTAGGACAGCAACTGATCACACGGCAAGCCCGGAAAGGATGTCCTTGGATGGATGGCTGTACTCTATTGTCGCGGGTAAATCTGAAGGAGAAACGAACGATTAGCGGATGCCGAGACGATACCAGCAGCCAAGGCAAGAGGATGAGTATTTTCAGGTGAGCGATGGCGGGAAGTTGGTGTCTTGGATCCGAAGTGCTGCAATGAATGAAGACGGTCTAGTCCTGCTAATCCTGGTACCGGCTGCAGCAGAGGATGCGCGGCTCTCCTAGCGATTGCCACGCCGCCCAGAATAGCATCCAAGGGGGGAGGGAGGGAAAGAAGGGAAATAATGGATTGGAAAGATGATTTGAAAACTTCCAAATGCCCCATGTCCTTCTCATTATCGCCGCCGGGATTTGCTAGATGTTTTCTCTCGTGCCGAACAAGCAATTGGCTTGCTTTTTTGCTTCTTCAAAAAAACAAAATTGACTCACCAGAAGAAAGAAAATAAACAAACACCACCAATCGGAACCCGTTATTATTACAATTACTATGTCGTCAAAAGTGCTGCGAGTGTCGACTATATGTGCGTGTGTGTGTGTGATTGAGTCGAGCGTGTCACAGCTAGCTGAGTTGAGGAGCTCTTTGGCGGGAGAATGTCGACGTCAGTTCGTGTGTCGCAGATTAACGACGAAAGAGATAAAAAAAAAATAACAATTGCCGTGCTTTCCGCTGTGGTAGCAAGCGAAAAAGCGTCCGTGCTAGTTATTTTAAATCTTGTCTGCAAGGAACGACGGGTTGGTTGGTTGGATGGATTGATTACAGTCTGCCTAATGTAGGAATTTGGCAGAAGGGGGGCGGCGTAAAGGAGAGGGACTTGTACTGGCTCCTGGCGCTCCTTTGGCTCGGTCTTGGTGGCTGGGAGGGTACGGAGATAGTAAAATAGATAGAGAGTAGGTGACCAGGGAAATCGACCAGGCTGAGAAATACCCGAGTCAGAATCGAACCCAAAAAGTCTCGAGGCACAGCAGAATAGCTTCTGTTGCACCAGAGTAGTCTGAGTAAGAATAGGATGAACAGAGACGCAATTGACGCTGATTAGAACTCACTTAACTAACAAGCAACTGCAGGGTCTGCAGCAGATGAGAGTCCAAGCAAGTTTGTCAATCACTCTATTGATCGCGTTTGTGTCTCGTGTCGCGAGGGATGAAAGGAGTGGAGGAAAAGAGAAATAATCAATTCCGCCGAGAAGAGAGTCGAAGAGAAGCTGGGCCACGTCCCGAGAGAGGCTCTAGGCTCTAAGTAATTTAGAGGAGCAGCAGCTATGACCCCTAATCATAAAAAAGCGATGGGTGCCCAGGCACAATTTCAGTATGTAGCACAGGAAAAGAAAAAAAAAAAAAACACCCCCAAGAACCCACCCCACCCATGGAAGCCCGGCCTTTAATGAGGGCCTAGCTCCTTGCCTATCCAAATTCCGGATCATCCGTTCACAGCACCTAATTGGCATTTTGCGATCCCGCCTTTTGCGACTTTTGTCGATCAAGACCCCGATGCCGCATGGTTAAGAGTTTCTGGTCTGTTTCTAGGCTTGCAAGCTTGCCATAAGTTCAGTTGCCGGATCCAAAGCCCAAAGGACAGAGCTCCCAAAAAGGGCCCGCCCGATGCGATTTGCTGCCTAAGCGGACTGATGAGTTGCACAGGGGACCCGGATCTGCCCACTCTATTTCTACACAGCAGCAGCAGCAGCAGCAGCAGTAGGAGCATGTAGTATTTTGCCTTTATTTCCTTTTGTCCTCAATGCAATCCACCTACAAGGTGTCGTACGGGCAAGACGGGCGCATGTACCCAGCATCGGTGTCCACCCAAAACCCGAACTCCAGACTGCTGCCACTAGGTAGGTACTCCTCAATCCAGGTACGCAGGGTCCACGACCGAAAGAGAACCCGAAAACTCGCGTTAGGGTTCCCGGAAAAAAAAAAAGATATCAACAACACCATGGACTCCACCATCGCCCATCCGCATGACCAACTATGGGCAGATGGTGAAAGATGCCTCTACCTTATTTGGTTCAGAGCGCTAACATAGTCGAGCATCTTTCCGACCTACTTGTCGCTCACCGACATATCAACCATCATGATACATAAGCGACTACGGATGAGAAGGGTAGAGAGTAGCTGGAGCTTACCAAGCATATGGTGAACTATCTAGGCTAAGTTGAACACCAACTCGCTTCCAACTCGCTTCAAGCTCGCTCACCTTACCCATCTCGCCAAGCGTCCATCCAATCTTGAGAAGCATCGAGTCCATTTTCCTGCACGGAACTACGGACTTCGTGTGCCATAGTTCAATGCAGCCTCGCGGAGATTCCCTGGCGTCCAGTCCGGATCTTACATCATTCAATGTTCTTACTTGCATGGAGACTGGTAAGTGCGTCTACATAGAGCTGGTCATCCATACTTTACAAAGTCAATTTCGAGGCGGCTAGTCCTATTGGCAGGGTCGATATTGTATCGTCATTGTCATGCGAGAACAAACTTGAGAACCGGCCTGATCGTAGTCTGAATGGACAATCAGATGAACCATGGTCCCAAGTAGTAGTAGTACCCGTAGTAGCGCCCAAGTGTCAAGTAGACTGGGGCCGAGCCAGGTACTGGGGTCGGCCGCCTCTGATTTCTCAAAATCTTTCCTGCAAATGTTGCTGTATCAGCAGCAGTCACTGGCTCGTTATGTATCGGGACCGTTTTGCTACCCCGTTGGATTGATGGCCAGGCATGGCGCAGACCTGGGTTGAGATCAATGGATATGAAGTTGTGTACCCAATGTATACTCGGTACACCAATGGAAGATGCAAGTTGCCAAGATGAAAAGAATCAAGGTCAGCATCTGCAGCTCGGGTCTATCTCATCAGTCAGCAATGATTCTCAGCTGATTCGTCCTCGGAGGCCTCGGCTGCGCCCGGGCGACCCAGGCCCCATTGCTGTTGTGCTCAAAATAGCTCCTCGTCCTCTCTCACAACAGCTTCATTAGCGATGCATGCAGCACCTCTCTGAATGCACACACACACTCTCCAGAGCCTCCAATCTCACGTAGAAGAAAAAACCACACACTTGACTAGAGCATGCAATGCAAACGCAGTCCGTCCTTCACTCTCAACTCTTGCTAATTGTCGACGCATCAATGTCGGCAGTGGACGGTCATTTACCGTACTATCCGCGGGTTCGAATTTGATTGGTTAGAGGCGGCTTCCGCCGAAGCAACAGGGGAGTTTTGAACGATTGAGACTTGTAATAATAATGGAGTCGGTCAGTCGTGTGTGTGTGTGTGTGTGTGTGTGTGCGGAATTGAATAGTGCAGTACTGCATCAAAGTATTCGGTATCCAATGAACAGGACGGACGGCTCAGTAACCAATCTCCACTGCATCTATCATATTCAGGTACTGTACGTCAAGGTATGTACGAAGTGCTCAACTCAATCCAACAATGGGAATCAGTGATTGTAAAATAGATGGAAAACCCGACAGAAAAAAAGAACAGTAAGGGTTTAATGAATAGAGCCGTCGGTAACCATCCCCCTTACCTAGATTAATTCCTTTTTATTGCCTACGAGGCTCCCCGTCTCCCCCGCCCAGGCATCGGGGAATCCCATCAGCTTACAGAAGGTGCCGAATTGATCATGGCTCTCAACCCTCCACTTGCCTCTCCGTCAGAAGCCGAAATCGATTCCGCCCGACATTTTAGCTTCGTTCGGAACCCCGATGTACGGAAGGTGGGACCACGATCACCGCTCCCCCAAACCAACAATTCTCCTTAATTCTTGTTCTGGGGTTTTTGGTTTGGTTTTTTTTTTTTTTTTTTTTTTGAATTCGTCGAGGTCTCATAGATTGACTCGTGCTTCACAATTTTCATTGCAGAGTACATCCTCTTCCGGGTTTTCCCAACTCGAATTGAGGGACCAATTTATTTCTCCCTCCAGATCGTCAGCACCAAAAATAAAATAAAAAAAAGGATGGGTTCCCAAATTGAGCCGCTCGAGCTATGGCGGCATCCCAACCCCGAGTCAACGCAGATGTACAAGTTTCTGCAGCATGTCAAGAAAAAGTATCGTTTGGATATTGACGACTATCCCGGGCTGTACAAGTGGTCGGTTGAGAACGTGCCTGCGTTCTGGGAGGATGTCTGGCGATTCTGCGGTATAAAGGCTTCCAAGCCGTATACGGAGGTAGGCACTTCTTCCGATATAGGACTCCCAAAGACGAATCTCAGCTGGGAACGTGGAGTTTGATCGCTTTCACCACCACAGCCTTTGCCAATTCTATCATGCCTGCGCGAGCATCAGGGTCCAAGTCGATGAGTGCGTATGACATGCAAAATAGGTCGGGAGCAGCTGTGCGTGGCCCAGCCTGAGATCAGGCTGCGATGGACAGACACTATTGATGGACATCTCAAGACTGCCTGACATGACTGTGGAAGCCAATGATTCGTGCAGATATGATGGCTATAATACGACCTTCATGAAGCCTGAGATTAATGCTACACAGATACTCCAGAATTCAACTAATCAGTTATATAGGTCTTACCACCCAATGCACCAATGTACCCACGCCCAGATTTCTTTGCGGGGTCCTTGTTGAATTTTGCGGAAAATATGCTCCATCCCAAGGGCAGTAATGTTTCTGATGACTCGCCTGCCACTATCACTGTGACCGAAGTTGAGGGCAAAGAGGTTACGACAACTTGGGCCCAGTTGCGGGAAGCTGTGCGCAAATGTGCCAATTCTCTGCGAGCGGCCGGGCTGAAGCCCAAGGACAGGGTGGCAGGTTTTGTATCGAACCACCACCAGGCCATTATTGCAATGTTGGCGGCCGCTTCTATCGGAGCCGTTTGGACAGGCATAAGCCCCGACAACGGTGTAAGTGCTGTACTGGATCGCCTTGCGCAAATTGAGCCAAAAGTCCTCTTTGCAGATAATGGAATGGTCTACAACGGCAAGTCGTGGTCATCTACCGCCAAGACCCTAGAGATTGTCGACGGGCTCAACGGAAAAGGACTGGAGCTCGTGGTCGTCATCAACAACATAGCGGTCGAACTAGGACTGGACGAGATCAAGGACAAGGGATTCAAGGCTGTCGACTACGAGGGTTTCCTCGACCAAGGGACGGACGGCGGTAAGCTGGAATTCGAGCAACTCCCTCCATCGCATCCGCTCTATATCCTCTACTCGAGTGGCACAACCGGCCTTCCCAAGGCCATTGTCCATACGGCACTTGGTACGCTGATCCAGCACAAGAAAGAACTTTTCCTGCACTGTTCTGTCGACGCTAGCTCCACTATGCTTTATTATACAACCACCTCTTGGATGATGTGGTACGTGATTCTCTGACGCATTGAAACAGTCTCAGATGAGTTGTACAGGATGTTGACAGTTGAACAGGCACTGGTCCATAGCCGCACTTTCATGTGGTGCAACTCTAGTCTTGTACACGGGTTCCCCCTTCAAGCCTCACGGGCACTTGTCCATCCCTAAGCTTCTTGCCAAGTACAAGGTGACGCACTTTGGGACGTCGGCAAGCTATCTCACGACGCTCGAGTCGAATGACCTCATTCTCGAGAAGGAGGGCATTGAGCTCCCGCATCTACAGGCCGTGTACTCGACAGCATCACCGCTGCCGCCATCGACTTTTTCATACGTGTACCGGGCGTTCCCATCTAGGATTAATCTCGGCTCTATCACGGGTGGCACAGACATCATTTCGCTTTTCGGAGCGCCATGCCCGCTCCTGCCTGTTTACGCAGGCGAGATTCAGTGTGCTGGACTGGGCATGGCGATTGCCGTCGGTGATTCGGTCACAGGCGAACCCACACCCGGCGAGGACGGTGAGCTCATCTGTACGGAGCCGTTCCCGTGTCAACCATTGACCTTCTGGGGCCCCGGTGGTGACGACAAATACAAGGCGAGCTACTTTGAACGGTTTGAGGCCCGGCCTCTTAAGGGTCCAATTTGGCATCACGGCGACTTCGTCCGCATTGACCCGCGCACGGGCGGTTTGACCATGCTAGGCCGCTCTGATGGCGTACTCAAGCCGAGCGGTGTGCGTTTCGGCTCGGCCGAGATTTATAACATCTTGACCAAGTATTTCAGCGGCGAGGTAGAGGACGCCGTCTGCATCGGCCGACGCCGCGAGACGGATCGTGACGAGACTGTTTGCTTGTTCGTTGTCATGTGCGAGGGGCGGGCCTTTAGTGAGGACTTGGCCGAGAGGATTAAAACCATGGTCCGGAAGGAGCTCAGCCCGAGACACGTGCCGGCCGTTGTGGAGGAGGCCGGAGGCGGCATCCCGAGGACGAGCAACGGAAAGAAGTAAGTCGTTTCCCCTTCCCTTTTCTCTTTTTACTTGCGCTTTTCTCAATCCACGCCTTTTCTCGATCTCTGCGTCCCTCAAATAGGACCACGACAAAGACCTAGGTGTTATGAGATTCATCCCTTGTTATTTTCTTGTCCCAGACCGGAAGAAAATGGTGTGCAAGAACACATGCTGACTCTATGCACTTTCACAGGATCGAGGTTGCGGTTAAGCAGATTCTTTCGGGCATCAAGATCAAGACCAACGCCAGCGTTGCCAACCCGGAAGCCCTAGACTGGTTCCAGAACTGGGCTTCCCAGGGCACCAAGAGAAAGTTGTCTCAAGCAGCAAAGTGAGCAAAGTCAGGGCGCAAAAAAAGAGTCTGTGAGGTTTGGAAAGACAGGCATCTAGCACATGGGGGCATTTGTGACTAACGAGGATCCAAATCATAGAAAGAGATGGTAATTTTTGCGCTCAATTGGAGCAAAAAAACAGAAAGCAATCAAACTGGATAGTTGTGGAAAATATAGAATGAATTAATCTAATCAATGTGTTGGGGGGGAATCTGTGTTTTATTCATGATGTGATTTCGTGACGTGGTAAAGCTCATGCAGTGTGCTGTCCGAGGGGCTTTTGTAGTCCCAAGATGATGGACTATCTTCTCAAGATAGAGATAACTGCACGGATCTATGTTGTGACTATGGGTTTATTCTCTTTTGGGTAGGGGACTTTCTTTCTCGTCCTATTCAAGCCCACCGTTCCACCTAGAGGATGTCCGTCCCTTCGGCAACGAGTAATATGCCCGGTGGGAATATCGTTGACTTGTCGAAAATGGGAAGGGTCCATGCGGGTGTGGTTCTTTTCGGTCTTGATTGATCCTTCTCGACTATTCAGCTAAGGGCTGACTTTTACGAAGAGGCCTCTTTGGTCTCCTCTGCCTCCTTGGGAGCTGCGCTTTCGGCCTCGGAGGCGCCAAAGAGGGCCTCGTTGTCCTTCTGGGCCTGGAGGAAAGCATCCTTGAACTGGTTGGCGTTCTCCGAGTTGGCGAAGCGGATAGCAAGCGTGACGGCCTCGGGCTCGCCCTCGCTCACATCAGCGGCGGCGTTCCAGACCCAGGATCGGTCACTGCCGACGTTGGGAGACAGCTTCATATCGGGGACAACTAAGGAAACATGTTAGTTGGCTTTGTCGCTCTGACCCAGCGCGGCCAGTGTTGACGGGCAGGATACGTACCGTAGTGGTTGGCGCAGACCTTGAGGGTCTTGTCGCGGCGCATCACGAGTCTGGTCTTGCCGTTCTCCTTGTGCTTGAGCAAACGGACGTCACCGGTGCCGCGCTCCTTCCACTCGCTTGACTCGCGCACAAACTTGAAGAGCTTGGCACGCATCTTGAACTTTTGCTCCTCGGCTTCCTCGTTGGTCTTGACATCGACCTTCTCAGTCAACTTGACGACAGGCTCGAAGTGGACATCCTCGGACTCGGGAGCTTCGTCCTATAAAAGTGGCGGAACAAGGTTAGCATATGGACATTGTTCCGGTATTCGAGCGACGGTGTGCACAATCACAGCGGTGTCGCGTCGAGATGTGGGAAAATTCGTACCTCGCCAGCGGCAGCGGCAGCATCACGCTGGGCCTTGGCGCTTCCAGAGTTGTCACCACGGTCCTCTTCCTCGTCCTTCTTCTCCTTCTTCGCGCCACCTCCAAACATGGAGAAGACAGAAGAAGAGGTCACGGAAGGCTTGGCCTCCTCAGTGGCGGTGGTAGCCTCAGCGGGGGCCGCCGCGGGGGTGGTCTCCTCGACCTTGGGCTCGGTGTTCTCAGTAGAGCTCATCTTGTCTTTTGTATATGTCAGATTTGCTTAAAACAGAAGCTCTGGTGTGAAGACGCAAAGGTTAGTCAGGGAAAAAGACAATGGATAGGCAGGGAGATGAAAAGATGGGCGGGGTGTGTGGGTGCCCGAGAGAAAGAAGGAGGGGCTCTGACTCGGCGAGTAATATTGCCAAAGACAGACAAGCTATATGTCGCAAGCGCTCTGAGCTGGAGTTATTACTGACCTTTGGAGAAGGGGTGGTGGGGGGTTAAAGAGAAAAGGCTGCGATTTGAAGCTTTACGAAGAGGGAAAAGCTACTTGATACGTCGCAGGTGGCCTGGAGATTGATGTTTGGTTGTGGTAGAAATGAAAATATGCGGTCCCTGAGCGGTTGCTTTGAAGGGCGGCACGCAAACAAATGGTCCCAAGTGCCAGCCCAGAAAAAAAATGGAGGGGAAGCACACGCGCGCACTTTGGCTTGGGTTGTCTACCTAGTACCTACTAAAACTACATAGCTAACCTGATAGGTCAGTACATGATGATTTAGGCAGGCTTTTGTGTGGTAAAATTGCCCGCAATTTTTTTTTTTTCCTGCCTATTAAATTCCATGGCTCCTTGCCCCTCCTTGACTTGACGGTCCTTTCTGCCCGTCAGCCAGGTGGGGTGAGAATAAGGTACAATCCACACCCAAGCAAGCAGAAGAGTGACTTTGGCAATCAATAGCTTGCCCCCCCCCCCCCCCCCCCCAAAGTGCCAATTTCCAGGGTTCAATCAATCATCAACTAATGTAACTAACTGCTTCCTCTACTGTACCTACATTCATTTAGTTCTTGGCATCTTCAATGTTGTGTTTCAATTTTCTTTACACCGGCAGTCTAGCCAATAAGTACACTTATTTCAACTATCAAGAGACTTTTTCAACCGACGAGACACTTTTCATGTAGGCTCTTTTACTTGAATGCTGCACAGCCAACTGGATACCAACCAGACTTCAGGTCTATTATAGACTCTATAATAGTTCTACTTCCCCACATGACTGGTATGTGACAGCACGAGCATACCCGAGACGGATGCCTCACGAGCTACGCTGCAAGACTGAACTAATGTTTTCCGAGATTCAATTAACTTCACGTTGCTGATTGAGCTGGCCGCAGATTTTCGGAACAAAGCTATGGCAGTACGTCATCTACAACAATGATGCCACTTGAATGCCCGGAGTCCAAGATCAAATCACGATGCCCCTGATATGAATTCTGCTATGGGGGCAGTTGGATTAGACTTCTGTGCTTGCTGTCATATGATGCCAAGCAGTGACATTGCATCTATACAATCAGTCTCGGACCTCACTTCGCTTCTAGCACTGCTGATACGTATAGTGAATTGTATCATGACGACAAATGACTGTGACTTGTTGATAAAGGACTCGATTGGCTTTCCTATCTAACCGTGATATCTCGCAAACTTATACCATCTGCTACAAGACATGGCTTCCTGCTCTGGGTTGTCTATCATGCAAAGCCATTGAGCGGTCGAGGCGCGTACTTGTCCTCGCTGTCCAAGTAACTCCGAATCATCAATTAGTACCTTTATTCATGCCATTTCCCTCATGATTTGTGCATTTGGGCCTCTCGAGACCCCCATCAACTAGGACCGGGGAGGCTAAAACCATAGACCTCAGTTCGCAGCACAAGGTCAAATCCATACTACAACCTGAAACGCCTGCCCTGACCAAAACTGACCGACCGAGGTATAATTACGAGACAAAAACAAAAACAAAACCGGATCAAATCTAGACAGCTTCCATATTGAATCTCCAGAAGCGGGGTTTTGCCTCGCGGTCGCTTTCCCGAGCCATCTGCTTGTGGAGTGCTCTGATTTCCTTCTTGGTGAGCTCTGCTCTGGCGCGGCTAGCAACAGCAGCTTCCTCCTGCTTCTTCTGATAGTATGGGCTGGCTGCAGCCAAGTATTGTTCATACTTTGCATCCTGACCACTCCAACGAAGCCATTGCAACTTGGAATTCAGTTGTGCTTGGAGGATGAGAAGCGCTGCCTCGTCTTGGAGATCCTGAGCCGTTCGCCATAATTCCTTTTGCGCCTGCTCGACGCGGCTCTCCGAAAACGAAAGTGGCGATTTGACAAACTCGGCAAAATGACCAGGTAGGCTCAAAGCGGAGTTGGCCATGTCTTGGAACCCTTGTACAATCGAATCGGTAATGGAGGCTGATGCAGGCATCATATCGAAAGCTGGGCTACATGTCTCCTCGACCCAAGTCGTTGTGCCGTTTAGCGTGTCTGCGACTGAGTGGGCAAAGTCCTTCAGGAATTGCTTGCCAGCATCGAAAGCGTCCACAATAATGAAAGTGCCAAAGTTGACGCGAAAAGTCTCCTTGATCTTTGGCTTGCGTGTGGTGGCGATCGAGACGTCGAGTACGCCATAAGCTTCCTCATGAGGAACCTTGATGAGGAAGCCTTCGTCAACAGTAGTGATTCTGGCAGCGTCTGACGATACATCATGCGTGCCCCGGCTGACAGAGATCATGAGGGCTCGCTTTGCAAGCCAGGATGCCTTGATTTCCTTAGGAACCCTGAGTAAAATCTCATTGCGGCCATGAACCGAGGCAGAGCAGAGACTGGGACTCGAATACAAATTCGACTGAGGCGAGACACTAGCAACGCTCTTGAGAGTCGAAGTTGTTTGCAAAGCATTTGGCTGAGATTTAGTGGAGGCAGTCATAGGTGTTGTCATGGCTGTGGTCGCCACAACATTTGGGATAGGTTGAGTGGCGATAGATGAGACCGAAGCTACTGGTACTGTCGTCAAGGTGCCAGTGTATGCGCTCACATTGCCCTGCATGTACTCTTTGATAATCGCGCCTGTGATGAGTAGCGGCATGAGTAGCAGAGAATACAATAGTCGCTTGCGCAGGAGGGGGTTGTTCTCCAGGTGGTCCACGGCCATGTGAGCCAAATTTCTAGCAGAGGGTATGGCCAAGAAGCCATTGCCATCGGATGGACCAGCGTGGTCGGTTCCATGGTGCTTGAAGAAACCACTGACCCTCATCTTGCGATCTCGAACCATGTCGGCGTTGTCGTGTTGCGAGAAAGAGGTTCGTCGTGAGATGTGGGCAGAGTCTGGCGTGAACAACTCGGTGGGATGCTCGAGACTTTGCTCAGCCATGGACATATCTGCTTCGTTGTCCTCCTCCTCATCAGTCTCAGCAGCACTGTCATCAGCAGCATCGCCTGCATGCTCTATGTCCATGATATCGTCATCAGAAGAGTCCGTATCGACGTCATTAGTGTAGACATCTGTGCCAGTGTCGGTATCGGCAAGACTCTGTACATCGTCGCCGATTTCAGATGCAGGATGCTCATAAGGCGAGTCAGCCACATCGGAGTGGCCCTCCACATCGGCATCAATGATGTCGTAGCCATCAGTGATGCTGGCATCCAGCGGATGGTTGTCGGGGATATTGAAGGGGCGCATCATGTCTGGATGGCTCGAGGAAACCCAGTTTGTAAGTCGTCTGTTCCCGGCCGGACGAGGAAATCGGAGACTCGGAACTGAACTCGAGGTGGTGGCCGCCCTTATGGGCGGTCCTGGGAAATGAGTATGGTTGCCTGGCGGAGTGGTATTAGCTTGCTGCGGAAGAGTGTCGGAGATGTTGTCGGTCGGAGCAGGGTATCCAGGCTGTTCCATAACTCGGCGAGAGATGACCTAGGCCCGGCTCACGTCATGCCTCAGATTCACCGTGATAGCTTGGTAAATCGAGGGTGACAGAATAGCAAGAGGGAAAATGGTGGAATCGAAACTGTTCTCCCGAGTGCTCTCGATGAGTGCGGGGCAATTCTGAGAGGAAGGCGTGATACAGGTTTGGGGGGGTAGCAAGACACCTCGATTGGAGAAGGGCTGACTTTGGTGGTCCTGCAGAAAGGCGGGTAAGAAAAGAATCAAAGCCGCAGCTGCATAGTTCCGACTTACGGTATTCTCCTAGATTTCTATTTTCTTATAGAAGTAGAAGCGCTGTGCAGAGTTTCGAAGAAGGGATGCAGCAGCGCTCAGGTAAATGTAGATAGGTCCTTAGGCAGTCACGGTATGTATCAAGGAGTTGAGTGTCGCCCTGGATGCCTACAATGTGGTCAGGATGGTAAGTCGAGCTGCCTTACACTGGAAGATAGGCAAGTAAGTGTATGGATAAGCACCCTCCCTCACTTCTGGGGAGCGTTGGAGGGGCAAGTGGAGAAAGATTGACCAGCCGGCGCCCCAGGATTAGCCAAGTCACCAATTAGTGCGTCTGCACTCCGTCAATGTACCTAAATCTGGCTGTCTGGGGGATCTGCCGTCATCAAGGACACTCGAGCGCTGCCTTCACTGATAATGTTCTGCTACATAGACAGATGGTCGTGTACTCACTCCTATGGTAGCTGAATGACTTGTTGTCCACTCGTGCTCCGGCAACAAGAATTTAAAATACCAGCTCTCTTCCCTTTGCTATGTTGTCTTGCTTCGCCGCGGCTTGTCAAGATGTGCGATGCGTGCTGGTTGTTCTGGCCCAAGGGGAGCGGGCACAGCTGGTGAGGTGGGTGATTCGACCTTGTCTTCTTTGTCCCTAGTAGATTTCGTGACATATAGTTATTGTTCCAATGATGCGGTACGAGGCATATAGATCTTCTTGTATCTCAAGAAAGCACATCTAAAGAAGGCGTGACAAGATGAGAAACCTCGCCAAAAATAAGACCCAGAGGGCTTGCAATATTTAAAAGGTGAGAAAATTGAATAAAATTTCGGTTCTCCTCTTTAAGTGTCCTGTTTTGTCAAATTCATGGGATCTCAAGGTTCTCAATTTTTTAAGATCTTTTTTTCCCCCTCCTCCCCCTAGAACAATTCTCATCAAACGTTGGATACCTTGCACAGGTGGCTCAGCGTCTCAGTCAAGGGACTGGACTTCACAGCTACATGCAACTATCTAGTACTTACACAAAATGTACCAGATGTTGCAGGGTGGAGAGCGTGCATGGAACTCAAAGTGGGGCGGGCTGAATTTGGGCAGTAACAACCTACCTGGACGGAATACCTACCGACTGCCACATGCACGTCTGGTCAAGTTTTGCATGAAAGATGAAATTTTTTGTGAACAAGAAGAAACCAAATTATCTGAATCCGATAAAGAGTCTAGTCGTGATTCTTGAGCAATTTGTAGGATCTCTCGGGGATTTTCAGGGTGTCACAACTGTTCCTCGTAGCGTAGATGCAATACGTGTGCATAGTATAATCAATCATCAATGACAGCGGGTCTAGTATCAGTTATCGCAAACATTGAGGGGCAGAAGACTGATCCCTGCTAGAGCCCTTGATTAGGCGCTCACGAGTTCCTTTCGGACCATCCACCAGACAGACCAAGACCGCGGGGGCGTTTGTTACTACATTAAGGTAGAAGCACATTCGGCGAATTACATGCGACCTAGATTTGATACGATGAATGAGACATGACCGTACCCTTTGCTTGAATGTTATCGCGGCAAGAAATCGAAAGATTACTCAGGAGCTATTGTCCATCACAGCAGCAAGCAACCTTGACTCTACTGTTCCGGCGAATGCTCATATCTTCTTAAGTATCAGAATCCGGCCAGTTACCATGTCTTGTTTTATGCGGGAGTCCGCCAGAGCAGCGCCGGAGGATATCCACAAAGTTCCTCTAAAAGAAGAACTTTTGGTTTTGAGCAGACCAGTTGGCAATAGTAGTGCTACGTGGAATGTACTTAGGCCCTGGTGAGCCGCCGCAAGTTAGGGAGGGAGGGAAACCTGCCGCTATCTCGGCACGTCTCGATCTTGATTTCAGCTCACCGTTCCCATCGATGGTTGGTTTAAAAAAATAAAAAATAATACAACCCGCAATATGCGTGGACTTGAACCCAGCCATTCTTGAGATTCTAGGTGGTCATATGCTGTGGTGCCCCTCCAAGCCGCGCTTTAATTACATACCTAAGCTTGCGTCGTGGCCGAACCACAAAAAAACTAGACAATGCCGAATTTAATAATGGCCATAAAGGTTCGACCTCTCCTCTCCTAGATTATGTATTCGGCGGGGTGATAGTTCTTGTCAGTCTATCGCCGACCGCTACTGGCCGGGGTTCGGCAATATTAACGGGGTGATACTCGATCGGAAGTACAATGGGGACTGCGCAATGCAAGTAGTCTGAGTTTGTTTTTGAAGCTTCTGAGATCATTTATGGGAGGAGAAAAAAAAAAGATTCGCTTTGGCAGTTCGCAACCAGCATAGCTCATGTGAGCAAATAACTGATTTGTTTTGCACAAATTTCAATCTATGTATATATAGCTGCGAGCATGAATGCATTCTATATCTACATCCTTCCCAGTCCGGCGTTTTCGAATTACGAACACATTTGAAAATATAATATGCAGTCTTGGTCACTTGCAGGTTGGGGAGCACATGGTAGTGGAGGCATGTAACCATTGTTTTGATTCATTATTCTTATGACATCGTTGATCCGCCAAATATGATAGCATCTGTCCAGGTCTCATCATATATCCCAAAGAGACCCGATCAGGCTCACTATGCCTCCAAACGCCGAGACCCAATGAGGGACGTATAGAACGATTTCCCTTGTTGTTGAGTCTGACCAACCCAAACCTCTATAAGAAAAATCAAAATGCAATATAGAACATAATACAGGATACATACGTATATCTGTGAAGCGACAGATATCCGCAACCGTCAAGTGCACATTGGCCACCTATTGTTACAAATATGGGACAGTGACATGAATTGCTTGTCAACGTCTCATGGAAACTTTGCAGAAAGGACGACCTGCACCGCGGCCACCCAAGGTCAGGAAAGAATAGACCTAGTAATCGTATAAAGGGGTATCATATGCGCGCATAACCGAACATGCTTCTTCTTGAAAAGCAGAGAGATGATTGTAGGGAGCGTAAGAGATTCTGACACGGTCGTCAAGGCTGGCGATCCAGTTGAAAACAGTCAGGTTGATCATAGAACGCCGTTCTTCTGAAAGACCTTCTTGAGCGAGTCCGTATCGAAATCCTCATCCTCTGGAATCATGTCAATGATACCGGTCATGTTGGCAAAGAGATCTCCTTGGTTCCTGTAGGCGAGAATAGTAGGCACGGCAGCATTGTCAAACTCAATGTCCTCGTAGTGAATCTTGACAAAGTGAATGTATGGATGCTCGGTGACCAGTGGCCGCAATGCCTCGTGGATGAGACTTGACACTTGACACTATTGGGATCGTTAACTGCATTGTCTTTGAAGCGCTCTGGTGCGTCGCTGATGGTCTTACCTCATGGTCGTAAACAAATACCACAACGACCGTCTCTCTGCCAACCTTCTCAATCGCGTCAAGATAGCCGAGAGCGTCGACCGTGTCCATGCGGCCAAACATGCGCAGACTCGGGCTGGTTCTGCGATTGCGGACACCACTCTTTGCCTCTTGCTCAAGCTCTTGCCGCCTGGCATCCCGCCATTGCTGGAGAAAGGACTCCTCGTCCGCATCAAACTCGCCCTCACTGTCCTCGCTTTGGCTATTGGAGCCGGACTTGACGTTGTTCACGCCGAATACTGATCGCCTGGCGGCCCGGATCTTATCCCTCCACCTGGTCTGGCGTGCCTCCTCGTAGGCTCTGGCATCTGCAATGACACCCTTGACACCGGTGGCGCGTCCAGAGTCGAAGGCAGCCGGAGGCAGTTTGAAGTTGCCACCCTCCGAAGGGCCCTTGAGACTGGGCATACGCATGGCGGCGTCTATCTGTTCGTTGAGGTAGCGATCCTCTTCGTCTTCTTCGCTGTCGTTGTCTCGACGGTAGTCGTCTTTGTCCTCAGGGTGTACTCGGGGGCTGTCGCTTCCTGCGTTCTTGTTCAAGAGCTCTTGAAACTCCTCTTGGGCTGGTGTTGGGTTTGCGGAAGACATGATGGGCTGGCACGGGATGGGGGGGTACCGGAACAGTTTTATGCGCGTTGAGTGGTATGAAAGCAGGGTTCCTGTGAGGAAGGAAGAAAGCGTCCTTGGGGCTTTGGTGCCGGGCAGACCGCGTGTTTGTGGGCAGGGCAAAGAGCCAGTGTATCGGATGTGTGATCGAGGTGAGTGTGGTTGCCAGGATCAGGTTCTTTCTGGAACGAAAGCAGAAGGCAACGGTAGGCCCTGATCGGAGTTGGGGTACGGAATGGGCCCAGGTCGTAGTGCTACTGCATACGTAGAAATGCGGCGCAGGGAAAAGGTTGCGAGGGCAAAGAGGGCACGCGTTGAAGCCCAAAGACAAACACCCCTGGTCTGCGTCAGGACGTTTCAGGGTCAAGGAGTCTAGCCAATTGTGCTGGCTATGCCAAGCGTTGCAAGCCTAGTGTTCGAAGCTAAAGGGAGAATGCTTGTTAATATCGCGGAGCAGAGAAGATCCACGAGGAGAGGCAGTTGATGGGCGTGCTGGGATCAAAGTGACATCGGGGCTTCGTGGCGAAGAGGGGGAATAGATTGCAGTGCATGCGATCGTGGATCACAAAGGGAGGAGTTGCCATCCCAGAGAGAAATACTGTGTAAAGAGAGATAGAGAGAGGCGCAGCGGACGGGGTAGCGATTGGCGCCGTTGAAAGTTCCGGGTCTTACGGCTTGCCTGGGTAATGTGCTCGTGTCTGTGTGTGTTGTGTGTGGACGGTCTTGGCCGGGAGATACAAACAAACGGACAGAAATAGGCACGTACCTCTGTCGATTTGCTAGAGGATGGATGAATTCCTGCCCGCGGACGTTTGATTTGAATGAACTAACCTAGGGCTGAGTAATATCCCACCCTTGCAGAGAGATGAAGAGAGATCGGAAACAAAGAAGAAGCACGGGGAAGTTCTGGTTTCTGTCTACGGCCCAACAGCAGACAATCAGACGGTTGATCAAGCGATCAATGGGGGGGAAAACAAAAAAACGATCAGGCTGTGGTTCAAAGTTGGACGGCTGACGGAGGCTGATTTGGTTATTGATGCTGAAGTGAACCGAGGGGCGTTGTCGTGGCCAAAAGCAACAACAATCAAGTAGACAGACAGACGGACAAACAAAAAGACAGGAGACGGCAGGAGCGTGGTGACAGGGATCGGGGGGTAAAAAAAACGTGGCATCCACATGAAATCCGAGTTAATGCAGCTTGGCCCGCAGTCACCAGGATCCAATAGCAGGAAGCTGGGAGGTGCCACTTCTGGGCACCCAATTTTCCAATCTGCCGTTTCAACCTCGAGTCTCATCTACAGTATGCCAACACCCTCATCAGACCGCCAGCCAGAACACAAATACAGAGAATGATGATTAATTGTAATGAGCAAGCAGTAGCGGCACCAATTGCACACACGTAACGACTCTCGGCTTTTCAAGTGAAGTCTACGATAGCCACGTGTCTGTCGTCTGCATTTCTTGTCTTCTCCCCCGCACTGCTAGCCAAACTACCGTCCGTCCATACAGGGAGTAGGAGGAAGACACGCTGCACACCCTTGGGAGAGGCAGCTGAAGTACACCGACATCCCGATCCTCGAGGCTAAGCAAGGGAGTCTCTGCTGTCAACACGAATTGCAAATTGACGGGCTTAAAAGAGCCTTTGATAAGCCTCTGGCACTCGACGACGCTCGCTGTTCTACTGTGTACGATGTAACTCGTACATAGCAGTCCATCCAGAGCTGCGTTGCCTTGTTCATATCGCCGGGGTTGCTTTGCTACAGGGTCAAAAAGCAATTTATTAGCCGAATACGTGCTGCGTATCATTGCCAGGCTATAATTGAAAAACCGGCAAATCAGGTTTCCCTCAAAAGTTCCCCATTTGCATCCTGCCTGGCCATGATTCTCCGCTTCTTGACTCATGGGCAGTACCTAGTCAATGCAGCCTACGTATTTCCCCCAGTATAGCAGTCGGCAGTCATGCCATAGGAATGGCCTATACTCGTTTACCCAAATGCCGCGGGTGCTACCACTGGCACGGACGACGGGACCAACAAGTCGATCATCAACTGTATGACATCCGCCGTCTCCGGTCTCTTTCAAGGGACGTTGACACATGGAAGCTCAGGAGCGCCGTCGTCGATCCAATCTAGCTCCACCTGCAGCACAGGCAATTAAGAGTTCAACGTCGTGCTTCACGATTGGCAACTTGACAGCTTCAGGGCCCTTCAAGGGCTTTTCATACTGGGGGGAACCCAGTCATGCAAAAACATTCCAACCAGCTACTTCCTTGTCAAGTCCATCCATCTCACTTGGCGGATGCAGCAATGCCAAGGAGGAAGGATGAGAGAGAGACGGGTTAGGTATTATTCATCAATTGGGGCCAACTGATCGTGTGGTTTCACCATCATGCAGAAGCGTGCCCAAGTCAAACGACAGATCGAAACATCATGTCATTCTTCTTTTCTGTTCAGACGAGAAGACAAACAGAGCTGATGTCCCGGTCTCATCCCTGTCTTTCCATCAACAATACAGACTGAGAAAGCGTTGTTTGTAGCAACAAGAGTGGAAGATGTGATCCTTCGAGCATGCGAGACAGTGGCACATGAAGCAAACGGCAACTGGCGACTGCGTGTAAACATCCAAGGCTCTCGTCTTGGCGTCGCCTATTCGACGAAGCCGGTGCACACCGCATGTTGGAATTCGGAAGGGATGGTCAGGTGCCTCGCCGTGAGGCTTGCTGCCATGAATAGACTTGCCCGGTGCCAATGAGTCTCGAAGGAACTCCTCCCTTACCAGCTTTGGCTCAGCTGATGCGTTATCTTGCAGTACGTACTGTTGTTCATGATATTTTGGCTGTATACTATGTAGTAGTAGTAGTAGTACTGGAGTCTTGGTAGTCGTCCTCGTCGGTCAATGCTCGCTCTATCCTGGAATGAAAGCGTGCATAAAGGACTGTTGGCCCTTGGGGGAAAAAAGAACCGTCTCCATTCCTTCTGGAAGGCTGCGGGCATTCTAGCGTCGCCCAGTACAGACATACGTAGCACGTTCCAAAAATAGTCCAGGATGTCCTACTCGGTCCCCCCGGCGACTACATAGTATGAGGAGGCCCTGGATTGGGTGTCTATCTGCTCAAACTTGCCTGTGGTTCTATTACAATATGCAAAACTGCACACGATCCACGAACGATGGGGGGTTTTCTTTTTCTTTCTTTTCAGTATCAGCTCATGGCAGCATGAATGGAAATGGAGATGCCAATCTCTCCTTCCATGCCCGGAAGGCCATTTATGCAAGGCGCAGTTTGTATTCTGTACGATTGCGCATGCGCGTACGTGTGAAGAAACGTTATGCAGCAGAATGGGTCCATTTGAATCAATCATATATGCATTGTCGATAGCCGAAGACGGGCAAGGGAATTTAACAAGAGGTGGCCGCCGCGCCACTGGCCTGCATTTACAGCAGGTAGGCAGGTATAAGGGGCTGGGGGGTTGCACTGTCAAAGTACCTACCGATGCAAGCCGGCCAGGACTCGTGACAATTGCCAATCCTGGGGTGCCGTCTACAAGAGTAAAGGCCATCTCAAAAGACCGAAAGAATCATGTTGCAAATTGGCCGGTCCCTGGCTTGTTGTAGTTTCTCGAGAGGATCCCGAGTTCCGTTGGGGCAGCCAGATCGTCGTTTAGTCATTTACTAATAACAGCTGATCCCGCTACAGGTAGTACCCGACATGACAGCTTCCTACGACCTGGGACATGCTATTACATCCAATACTGCTGCTTGCTTACTGCCTTGACGACAGGGTTGGGCATGCCAACCTATTGCGACCTGCACACCCACAGCTCAGCTCGTTTCAGCTTTTCATCCACGTGGTAACCAGGCTACATCATGAACTTGACTGTCAATCCGGCCAACATCACATACATGGACGAGCCTGGATGGAAAACCAGCCCTTTTAGCGATCCTCCCAAACCAGAATTCTTACCTGTGTATTCGTAGGTTTCGTCACTACCTGTAGTTTCTCAGCTCGCCTCGTATGCGACCCCATGCAACAGAGGTCTACTCTACGGTCCGAGCAGATGGATGATCGACCGCGTCCCGAGCCTTTGTTTCAAACACGGGACCTAGTATCTAACCTACCTAAATGCGAGCCGCCCTACGATGACAGCCAAACCTTCAACTCGCACCTAGACGGGGACGGGCAAGAAAAGTCTGCCAGAACCTGTGACATCGTTTCTTTCTCTCTATTATCAGATGAGATTTTCCCTAACGTCAGCAAAAGTCCTCGTCCAAAATTTGACACTTCCGTCACCCAGCTGAAACGTCTGATCTTAGATCGATGATCTCACCACTACCCTTTACCATTCCTCTTTTCTTTTCTTCCCCATCCTTTCTCTAGATCAAAGCCCCCCCCCCCCTTTACCTCTAAAATTGTTACATTCTGATGTATCCATGGTGCAGTACGGCAGCCTTGTGCCTACGGACAATCAACTCGTCACGGGTCTTTCGAAACCTTGAAGCTGTTTGGGATCCATTCGTTGAGCCCAAAGCACCGTCATTGCTGCGTCCTCCATGCTATTGTACTCGCATGTTGGTCATCGTGGGGCAGCGAAGCGCCTGATTCGCCTCGCTGGATTCGCGTCAAGGCCGCTGGTTTCGGTATCTCAAAAGGATTGCCGTATCGAAGGAGACTTGATGGATGCCTGGCCTTGACAGGACTTGTACGAACCTGCTTCAGGGCCTTGCTTGGTCGACCTATTGAAGTCACCAATTCATGCGAATCTTCCTGTCGACACCATGTCTGCGAGGCTGATGAGCAGTACTCTTGAAGGACCGACTGCCCATTTGGGCCAGGACTGTTTCATGGGACGCTCGAATCGTCGACAACAACCAGTCCGAGTCTTGGTGTATTCATGCCTGGTCATGAACGCGGATGGAACATGATGACAGAGGTATTGATGACTTGTTGGGGGTCACACGCGGTCCGACAATATCTGTCCTCAATGGTTGCACTACACTATGAGCCATGCTGACCAGTGCGTCCCATTTCAGACAAATCTTTCAAATGCTGCTATTGCATGGTAGAAATGTGTATCATGGACTCGAAGCGTGTAAGCAAACGAGATTTCAAATGCACAACCCGAAGCAAGTCTTTTCATGTGGCTCATGGCACATCTGTGCAAACTGATGGTTCAACTTGCCATTACAGATCCACTGATTTCTTGGGAGCATTTCTTTTCTCCTTATTATTATCAATATTGAACTGGTCCATACTGATCAAAGCTATGCGCTCTGTTGAGTAGTCAACTATACGAGGCTGCTTGTGTTGACATTAAGTTGATAGGTCTCGAGCATTCCACGACTGACTGTTATCCATTTCGAGCGCAAAGCCGGGATGAAATGAGCCGCGTAGTCCCCGGCTGTACTCACCTTGCCATAGAAGTAGCGGTCTAGTCCTAGGATGTTGTTTTATTTTGACAAGAGCCACTGGGCTACCTTGCAACTGCCAATATATCGACGTCTGATACCCGATGCATGGTTCAACGGCCATATAGAAGGCTCTCTCCTCTGCAGGCTGCATGATGTACACTGCAAACGCTGCCTGTAAGAAAAACATGAAGCGAATCGCTCCGGTCAAAGGCCGGACCTTCAGTAGGCGGAATGTGATGGTCTCGTACCATTGTGGGCCAGTCGCTATCTACTTGCGTCAATAACACACAGACATGCAAAGAACACGAACCGACCATTTCCCAAGCCAGTCTCAAACCCGCCATGACGATAAGGTGAGCATATATCTTTGGTCTTGTAGCTCTCCACGGATCAGTCGTCCTCACCCGAGCAAAGGATATCGGTGTGGTAATCTCAGTCTACCACTGAAGAGTTCCTTTGGCTTTTTCCAGGTTTGAGGTGAGAGGGACGAGACCTGGGAGATTCATTCCAATACATGCACACGTTTGTCCAGTGTCCCAGCAGGAAAATTCGTATTACGATTCAAGTCGCGGGTAGGTATCAAGATGTGACCAGGGACGACTGTATGAAGGAGCGAATATTCCACCTGCTATTTGGGTCATGTCCTGGCGAGCAAGCATTCCACGACAAGTCTGCGAGGCGCAAGCCATTCCCACGAGTCACATAGCCATAACGCATGGCGTGTCTTGTTATCGAGTCGCTACAACCGAATGTGGCACAATTTAGGTTCAAGTAATTTTAACCGTCATGCATTATTATATGTTGGTACAGGGCCGGTGAAGGAGGCCTTTGATTCACTACGCTTCCTTTTCCAGTTCTCCCTCCCTGCAAATGCTCCTTCTCCGCTTGCTCTCTCTCTCTCGCACGCGCTCTCTCTCCTCTGCTTACCATCCATCCCTACATGCCGTATTCCATCACATAAGTTCGAATTCGAACTCGTAAAACTGTCTCCTAGCTCTCATGTCCACAAAAAGACGAAAAAACAAAACAAAAACAAAGCAAAAGGGAATAGAGACACAGGACAGGAGAGAAAGAATTCCGCAAAACAAAGAGCCAGTGTTTCCTCACGCCTCAGTATGCTCGTAGGTTCCTCTCGTCCACATGGTAGGTCGGCTGCCATGCAGTTAACGGCCTCCGAATTTTTTAAAATCTTATCCACATATCATGGTAACACATGCCTCTGTTGCCATCTACCATAACGAGATCGGGGGTGTCAAATAAAGCAAGAAAAGGAAATCAAAAAGAAGGAAACAAGGAGGAATCAATAGAGGCCGAACGCCATTTTGGCGGTAAAGATGGGGGGGTATAGACAAGTCCTAGCGGACAGTGCGTTTGTGAGAGCCGTCTTTTTTTCTCTCGTCACATCGACCACCTTTTCGACAAATTGCCTGCACCAAGACAAATACGGCGAATGCGTTGGGTGTATTCTGCCCGATTTCCACATTGGCCGTGGCCACCGGCCTGATAGGCGTCCAAATGTGACCAATTGGAAATGTACAGTCGAGTTCGTATGCTATCCTTGCCGATGGTTGGTAGAGTTGCCAACAGCAGGACTAGTGAGAGTCGGACAGAGACTGAAGCCGATGTCTTGAGACGGTTGAATCATATTATAGGCCATACCAACAATCGTAAGTCGACTGGCTAACGGCGAGTATCGGTTGTGTATCAAAGGAAAATGGTATTGCGAAAGAGGCTGTCGTGACTTCGTCTTGGATACGCCTTCTCTTTGAAAATTATAAGGGCGTATCGGGGTGAAATTAGTGCAAAATAATCACTTTGAAGAAGAGGTGAGAGGAGGCGCTCCAGTAACGTGCGTGGTGTCAGACAGTTTGCTCTCAAAAAGTCATCGGCCCGCCGTCGCTGCCGCCGCTGCCTTCGCGGATAATCATTTTGAGGTTTAGTAGGCCCAGATTTTAAGCTAGAACAATGATCAATCAGCCGGGGCTATCGCGTACCTGGAGACTCGAGAGAATACTTACGACTGAATCCCAAGAACCTGTGCACAAGCTGATACCATCGTTGCTAACACCCAGACAGCTGACACGGTTCTCGTGGCCCACCAGGGAGCCGACCTTCTCGCCACGGGTGATATCCCAGACCTATTGGCATGTTAATAATGCGGTTCATTTCCATCATGGTGAGAAGCGTCCTGGAAAACTCACCTTGCACTCGAAATCATCGTAACCAGCAAACAGCAGGCGACCAGAAACAGAGGTGGCGACGGAAGTAATACCACAAAGAATAGATTCCGACTAGAGATAAGAGTCAGTTTTATGTGAACGCGTTGCGAGTTTTTGACGTTAGCGTTACTTACACCATAGAGGTTCAGCTCCCTATCAGCACGAATATCGAAGAGTCGGCAGGTGGCGTCGTCGGAACCTGTCACGAAAGAGTGGCCGTCGGGGAAGAACTGAATGGCGTTGATATCGGACTCGTGGCCGGCGAATGTCTGAACGGCCTTGCCAGCACGAATATCCCACAGCTTGGCAAAAGCATCGCAGGCACCAGAAATGAAGGTGTTCTGGTTGGTGGGGTTCAAGCTGATGCTCATGACATCGCCAAGATGGTCGGCAAACTCCATGACCTTGGTGCCCGTCTCGATATCCCACTTCATACAAGTCATGTCACCAGAAGAAGTCAGGATGCTGCGGTCATTGATGAAGCGGCAGCAAGAGAGGTAACCAGCGTGGCCCGAGAGCTCGCGGGCGACACGGGTGGGACCATCCCGGTTTTGGTTGAGGTTGTAGATGGAGCAGATGTTGTCGAGACCACCACAAGCCACATAGTTACCGCTTGGAGCATATGCGCAAGTCATGACCCATGAAGATCGCAGCGGAATGGCATGAACCTTGTTTGTCGTGTACGCGTCCCAAATGATCAGCTTTCCATCCTGCGAGGCGGACACCAGGTGTCTTCTATCGGTCGACCAGTGCATGGCGTAGATCTTGGCCAAATGGCCCTTCAACGTTCTCTTCGTCTTCATCAGCTGGTTTCTGGGGATTGAGTCGTGCGACTGCTGCGACACGGCGCGCACTGCATAAGAAACATTTCATATTAGCACATGGGTCGATTAGAGAGATGCTGTCAAGAACATGACAGAGATGGCAGGGGTGAGATTATGGCATCGACTTGGGGCGCTGAGCAAAGCAAGCAAACGGCCAAGCAAACCAGCAAACAATCAATGAGAGTAGAGACCGATTGGCTGAAAGGGGGCGTAAATTGGGTGCGCGAGTTTGCGCGAACACGAGCAAATGTGAATGGAGCTCGCTCGCACGGCGGACAATTGATTGTGATGATGCATGAGGAGGGGAGCATTCAACTCACGAGTGGTGTCGGCCAATTCATCCTTCTTCCGCTTGATTCTGTCCTTGAGGGTTTCGGCCTCGCGCCGGGCCTGTTGAATGCGCGCCTGCATCGCCTCAGGCGATACATCGTTCGGCCGTTGTGAGTCCATGGCGAGATTTGACGTTTGAGAACACTGGTGAGCGTGCTGCTTGCCGACGGGGGCTTCGGAAAGGGGGGGTTGTTGAAAAAGGAGAGCGAGCAGAGAGCTGTGGCTCGTGGGGGGTGTGAGAAAGAGAGAGGAGCGGGTGGTCGGGTGAGAAGAGAAGCAGAGCGAGTGTGCCGACGACGAAGAGTTGAAAGGTTGCGCACGTTGGGTCAGGAGGAGGAACGACGACAACAACAACGACAGCAACAGACGACAACGAGGTCGGAGATGGGGGGTGGTGGTTGTTGTTGTTGGGTTGTGGTTTGACGGCAACAGCGACGAATTGATGGATGTGTGGAGAGGACACCGAAGGAAAAAAGGGAAAAAAGGTGTGGTTGAGGTTGGATAGGTAGACCAAGCAGCAGTAGTTGTCGCTTGGGTAGGTAGGTCCGGGTGTGAGGAGAATGCTTAGAATGCGAGCTCCAGGGGTGGTTGCGACAGCTGACCAGTCAGAGACGCCCTCTGGGCACTTAGTAGTGATTCTCGCCGGGGGCGGGCAGCGGGCAGGATGAGGATGAGTCCAAAGGGTGGAGCAGTTCGATTTCGATTGCAGGAGACGATGCTGGGGTCCGTTTTGACGGTACACACCCAGGACTTGGTTCCATTCATTTTAGTGGTGAGTTGGTAGCGTAGTAGCCAGTGGGTGGTACGTAGTGTGATTTTTATTTCCATTTCTTTTTTGATACTTTATTTATGACTTCTATTCCCTTGTCTGAAAATACTTGTAGGCTATGATGGTTCTAATGAGAAGAAGAGAAAGAGGAAGAAGAGGAGTGGTGGGGTTGAGAAACCACACATACGAGCTCACGAATACTGAATAGAGGTGAACAGAGAACCCCCCCGCCGGTCTGGTAGGCAAAGATTACATTACTACCGCAAGTGCATCAATGTTATTTGTTGGATAATGTACCTCAACTCGACACGGGATTTGAATGTCAAATGCAATAGAAAACCGATCACGTCCCTTAGTATTGTGTTTATGCACATATTACTATCACGTGAAACCTTGGGCCAGCCAGAAGAGAATATAGAGAGTCTTTCGCTTCTTCTCTTGATATTACTCTGATAAATCAAGACAACAAAAAAAAAAATGGATTCATTTGAGTGAATGGAGGCCTGCTGGGTCTAGGTACCTAGCAAGTACCTAGTTTTGGCAGTGGGCGGGCGACGTGGAGCGAGAGAGGGAGGGGTGGGCACTTGTGGTCCATGCTGAAAGTGGGAATACATAGTAGAGGGAGAAAAAAAAAAGGAGATTCAACTTAGCACCGGCTCCAAAATTCGAGATTACATTCAATTGCCCTCTTCTGCGTATACGACCGATGCGCAAACTGTACAGACACTGTGTCCAGCATAAGCATTTTCAGTCGGTTTCATTATTGCTACCTGAGGAAGCAAGGCCCTGGTTGACTGACTGACTGCCTTGTGCCTACTTTGCTTGCTGGTCTGTCTGCCTGTCTCCGGTGGTGCCAAGCAAGCTTGGTTGGTAAGCTGTTCATCAACCCCCATTGGAATAGTCTCTCTTCTAAACATGGGCACTGTGCTGCGAAGAGGTTAGAAGGACCCAACCACTTTGCTCACCTACATTACGGAATACCCTACTGATTGATTACCTTTGCTTGCCTACCTGACCCCTACATGCGCTATTCACGCACAATTTACTTTCAAGGTACATTGGCGTGGATGAGTGATGAGTTTGGTAGACTACGGTAACTTTCTATGTCTCCCGTTGGATGTGGTCCTTTTTTTTTTTTTTTTTTTTCCCTTTCAACGGTGCGGTGAAGCGCGGCATGGGTAAAGGTGCACCACATACATACATTACAACACAATACTGAGCGCGTGAGCTTGACTTTCACCTAACCAAAGCATTGCTCAATGCTGACGTTAATATAATGAACTTGATAGTAAGCCAGAGTGTCCGTCGTTAGCGGATACGCAGATCATCCGACACTGAAGTGCCGTTTGCCCTGAGCGAGACGAGAGTCCATGGTGGCAAAACCAGGACATGTTCCGCTGCTGGTACCCACGACTCCAGTCGAAGATCGTGAAGAAGAAGAACGGCGTTGTTGTCCATCGTCTTTTATTATTGCACTACACAGGCTGGCCACTCGCCATCTGGCACTACCACCTTACACTACTTGCCATCACCTCGTGGCATGATGAGCTACCACATTACTACTACTGTGTGCTAATTGAAGACGACCGATGCGGGCCTCTAGTCTATCAAGTCCAGCCGCTAGACAAAATCCCAAGTTGGCTCGAACTCGGCATTTTACGCTATTCATTCCTTTTCAGCTCACTGGCGGCACGGGTCTTGATGAGTTGCTCAGTACAGATGCGGATGAAGGATGAGACAGGAGGCTCTTCGCGCCCGCTGCTGAAGAAAAAGCCCACCGAGGCCGTCGTTCGCCTACTGCTCACAAGCGCCAAGCCCGTCTGCCACTTAGTGAAATTGAGCTCGACGCAAGTCAAGACATTTCAAGCTCCAATTCTCTTTGCCAACTACCGACTAGGAGGCAACTAAAAACTACTCAGATTACAGCAATACGAATATCATACTCAACAGATGGAAACCAGCTTTTGTTGAATCTTTTGTGTGTTAGGGCCCGCGGGGTTGAAAAGACCATCCCGATGACCAGTAGCCCTCCGTTCCGCAGTATCACTACAGATGTACTGGTATTCCGGGCACTGCTGAATGAGCAGGTAATGTATACACCCATCAGGGCAATTCAACTAGCCTCGGTGAAGTACATGGGAAGATGGGAAGAGAGCGAGTGATCCAGAATGAGTCGTGACAAGTCATGGCAGGACAACACGACAGACATGATATCAATTATATCTTGCCTTGATCCACTGGAGAGAGACAAAGTAGCTATTCACTAATCCTTCCAATGTGTACATGGGAAACTCCTAGCTTCGCTGCACCCAATTGGTCTGATGGCACCGAGCCCAGAATGTTCAGGTGGAATAATTTGACTGATGGCCGACTTACTACTGTGTGGTATTATGTTAGATACACAGGAGGTCGCTGCGACTGTATAAATAGTTAGGCCCTAGTACCTGCAGCTGCATTCGTAAAATGACACTGTCCGCGGGCAAGTTTCTTGACTCCTTTGGATGCCAGCCGCCGAGAGGCGAGATTGGGGGCCAATCAATACATTATGTACCTTGTCTACCTCTACATACAGCAGTGCAGATAAGGTACCCTGACCAGGTTGTAGGTGGTACGTAGGTTGTTGCCCTGAGTGTGTACATAGTATGGGGTATTATGGATG